GAATATAGGGGCCCTGTTTGGGGAGCTTTCCCCCTTTCTTGCCGCGTGTTTTTTTGTCTTAATGGGAATATAGGGGCCCTGTTTGGGGAGCGTTCCCCCTTTCTTGCCGCGTTTTTTTTGTCTTAATGGGCATATAGGGGCCCTGTTTGGGGAGCTTTCCCCCTTTCTTGCCGCGTTTTTTGTCTTAATGGGCATATAGGGGCCCTGTTTGGGGAGCTTTCCCCCTTTCTTGCCGCGTTTTTTGTCTTAATGGGCATATAGGGGCCCTGTTTGGGGAGCTTTCCCCCTTTCTTGCCGCGTTTTTTGTCTTAATGGGCATATAGGGGCCCTGTTTGGGGAGCTTTCCCCCTTTCTTGCCGCGTTTTTTGTCTTAATGGGCATATAGGGGCCCTGTTTGGGGAGCTTTCCCCCTTTCTTGCCGCGTTTTTTGTCTTAATGGGCATATAGGGGCCCTGTTTGGGGAGCTTTCCCCCTTTCTTGCCGCGTTTTTTGTCTTAATGGGCATATAGGGGCCCTGTTTGGGGAGCTTTCCCCCTTTCTTGCCGCGGTTTTTGTCTTAATGGGCATATAGGGGCCCTGTTTGGGGAGCTTTCCCCCTTTCTTGCCGCGTTTTTTTGTCTTAATGGGCATATAGGGGCCCTCTTGCCGCGTGTTTTGTCTTAATGGGCATATAGGGGCCCTGTTTGGGGAGCTTTCCCCCTTGCTTGCCGCGTTTTTTGTCTTAATGGGCATATAGGGGCCCTGTTTGGGGAGCTTTCCCCCTTTCTTGCCGCGGCTTCTTAATGGTGGGTTAGGGGCTTCGAATATAGGGGCTTCGAAGGTGGGTGAGTCTTTGGAGTTGCTACCCCCGTGTGGGTTGCAGGAAAGCGACAAGGAGACCCGAACATGTTTGGAAGTCACCTAAAACATGACACACCCAAAGGCCTCGCGGAGGCGGAACACAACTTTGTCACCAATAAACGTTGCCTGTCTTTGAGAGGGAGAAGGGTGCGTTTGGCTGACCCCACTTCCTGCAAAGCCAACCAAGAAAGGACTTTGACAATGATATCGATAGAATCCTGGCCCATCTTTGACTACCCCAATGTTCGCAGGGGTCACTGGATTTACCATTTAAAGTTGCAGTGAAACTGCCACTTTTGGAGGTTCCACAAAGGGAAATGGAGGAAGCCTGTGTTCATCAAGTTTGCCTTTCATCACTCTTCAGAATCAGGGCCCGCCTTGCAAGTGTGAAACGACTCTTTTCAGTGGCTCGAGAGGCAAACGAGTCAAACAGTCATCAGTCAGAAACAAAACCAGCTATTCAAGGGGTCTACCCAAAATACCATGTACAAAATCAAGAGGGCGGCCGCTTCAATTTCTTCTTGGGCTTAAACCTTCATTTGCCCAAGCTTGATTGTGCCCGCCTTTCCTGTTGCAGCTCAAAGCTGGGGATTTGCTCAAGACTTTCATTTTGGCTCGAGCCACAAAGAAAAAACATGTTTTGTTTGATTCCCTCAAGCTCCTCGCGAATGGCCAACAGCCCCCCCCTTTTCCGGGCTTCCCGGTCAAGCACAAACCTCCGTGCCTCCCTCAATTTTGTAATGCTCACTTGCATAAGAGTGCCAAACTCTCAAGCTATCCAGAGTTTTCAGGGCGTCTTTCTCTTGAAGATACCCGGGTACCGGGCTTGGTTGAAAGGAAACCCCGGATGTTCAAAACACCATTAAAACAAAGGGAGTCAGTATAGCCACCATTATTTAAGCTTAATCATCCAAAGTGGATCAACCGTTTTTTTGATGGGGGCAAGGAATCCTAGAAAAACCATTGGGCTTCAAATCCCCCCAAAGCAAGAGTTGTTTGCCTGAGAAGTTTCATCATCCAAATATCCCCCCCAGCCCCCCGTCAAGCGCAGAGAGTCCATGTACTCCAACTCATCTCCCTCGAAGGTTTCAGATGTGCGGCCTGACGAAGAGGTGGAGAGAACGCGCAGGCCAGCTGTGAATGGGAGTTGGACACCCCAAAACATAGGGTTGGACTCCCCAAAATGGTCTCAAAATGGGTTGAGCAGTTGGACCCCACGATATGGTCTCAACATGGGGGTGGGTTTGACCCCCCAAAAAAATGGGTTGGACCCCCCAAGACCCCACAAACTGGTCTCAAAACTCAACATGGAGTGGACCCCACGAAAATTACAAAATGGTCTCAAACATCTCAAAATGGGTTGCCCCCAAACAACCGGTTGGACCCAAGACATAGTCTCAAAATTGGTTGGACCCCATCCAAAGAGACCCCACAGAATCGTCTCAACATGGGGGTTGGACCCCCAAAATCACAGCTGTTCATGGCTGCCCAACACGAATCCTAAGTACCAAAGTGGGAGCCCCCAATATTATGTTGCTTTCCATGAGGGCACGGAGACAGTTGGTGGGCACGAGTAAAGTCCTGAAACCCCCTTCTATGATTTTCAAGGCAAGCTGGAGACAAACTCAAGTTGCAACGTCAGGTCCCATGACCACAGCTCCAAGGGCACAATCCTGGCTTTAAGCAAGTTTGTACACTGGGTGCTTTCTACAGTCGGTGCATTAGCTGGATACTTGAAACCAGCTGATTCCGTGGTGGGCTTTGGGAAGTGTCAATGTCTCCCCATTGGGAACCAAGAGGAAACCTGCGTTGAAAGCAACCACAAGCACAAGCACAACAACAGCCACAGCAACGGCAACAACAGCAGCAACAGTAGCAACAGCAACAACAACACCAACACCGCCAACAACACCAACACCAACACCATATTCCCGGCTCGGTCCAAAATATTGATGAACGTTCATGGTTTGTGCTGGAGACAGCGCACTCATACAACTCTTTGAACTCGATGCATCGAACATCCGGAACTCCTCTGCATGCCCTTTTGACCCTTTTGTCCGTGCTGGCAGTCAACAGAATCACACTTTGAACGCCACCTTTTGGTTCTCCTTCTTGCCTCTTCTCCTTTTGGGGCCCCCTTTTGACGTCAAAGTCGGCTTCCTGAGACCGTGTTTCCGGCTTTCTTTTTTTTTGGAAACCCAAAGGAAAACCCATCCATTTTGGGACTTTTCCCTTTGACCTACAGTAAGCTCCCCACCTTTCAAACCTTCCCCTGTTTGCATCGCTCCAGAGAAAAAACATATATATATATATATAAAGTCAGGGCTCGCCACATCCCCAGGGTGCCCATATTTGGTTTGTGTGCCCCAGGGCTCGCCTTGTGTGGTCTTGAAGACCAGGGAGTAGATGCCCACGTCGCTCACGGAGCGGCAGATGATGTCCGTGAGCTGCTCGCCGGGCTCCAACTTGAACTCGTGGGTGTGGCTCTTCTGGTCCCCCTGAAACCGCGCGCTCGCCCTCTTTACGACTTGGTCAACATTCAAACCTAAACCTAGGATTCAAATATTTTCTTTGCTCATCATTTAGTCAAGGGGGTTGTCTGGGGTTCAACCGGTTCCATGTGACAGCGATCCCCGGATTATCCTTGGTGCTTCGAAACATCACTTAAAAAGTGGCCGTGATGCTCGTGCTCGCTTGACAAACCGAGGAACCCGTGGCGTGGTGAACGTTGGACCCCCCAAAATGGATTTCGGTGGTTGTGGTTGTTTGTTTGTTGTTTTTGTTTCCCCCCCGGAAATGCTTGAAAGCAGGGATCCTTACATTATACTGTATAATGTATACACCTGAACATTGCCTTGTAAATGGTGGTGTCCCTTTTTGGTGGAAAAAGCCATGTTTCAAATCAAAATGTATTTTTTCAGGAGCCCTGCTTTACAAAGCGAGGAACCCGAAGCTCGGAGCGAAACTGAGGAGCCAGCGGGGGTTGGACCGAAACCCAACCCCTGGCTCGGTGGACCGCTTTACGAGGAAAAATTATGGGGTGCTGCTTGGACCCCCCAACATGGATTTCGGTGGTTTGGGTTTCCTCCAGAAATAAAGCCACCCAAGGACCAAAAGAAGAAAGCAAAAACACAAGCAGGCAAAATATTATGTGATGGGTTGGAGGGTGGACCCAACATGGATTTCGGAGATACCCTTTTGCCTTCGCCGGAAGAAAACAACGGCAAAAAAAGTGTAGCCTCCAAAAAACACACACACCCACATCCAAAAACCACCTTAAAAGGAAATTTAAAACCGGCCCCAATGCATAGTTGAAGAGACAGCAAAGCGGGCCGTATGTCTGTGCCCAGGGAGAAAAAAAAAAAAACGAGAGCATGTTGCTTGAAACTGCGTGAACGCTACTGACAACAAAACGAATTTCTGAGGGAACAAAACTGTTTACCTTTCGGTTCTACCCAATTGATGGTTTTCTCTGGTTCCCTTCTGTCATAGCTTGCCTGGAAGCACTAGGAACAACATGCCAATCAAGACTCGCTCTCCAACTGGCATGACCCTGTCCAGAATCTGGGACACTGAAAGGACTTTCCTCTCTTCCCACCCATTCTGCCTCATCTTTTCCCAACAACAAAAAATGACAACCCTCCATTTGCTTAAGTCCTCTGGACAAAAGGAGAAGCTATGCACAATAGTGATCGATTTCCTTTGAAACCAACAGGGGCGATACATACATATCTTCGTTTCAGCAAATGGAAGCAGCCCTCAAACACTTAGGTTGTCTTGTTGAGGGGTGCCCCATGTTTGGTGGTTTAGGAAAACGGATCGATCATCTCGCTCACTGGGGCCTTCTCCTTGCCCGCGTAGACGAAGTAGACGTCCGCGATGGCGTAGTGGATGTTCACCCGGACCGCCGACACCGCGCCGCCCCCCGGCTCGCTCTGGGGCAGGCTGGGGCAGTTGAAGGACAGCGTGAGGCCGTAGATGTTCAGCTTCTTGCTGGATCCTCACCCCGGATGGGCCCGACAGGCAAAATTTCAACTGCGCCGTTTCTGCGGGCAAAGGCAGTTTACCACCTGCTGATTTGCTCTTGAGGTGTTGAAATCTGGCAGGATCTTGTTGGCTGTAGTCTTGGTGTTGAGCTTGCTGGATCCTGCCGCGGGGCATCGGGCGGTACACAAATCACGCCACATGCCACATCTCTGCCCCTGCGGGTATAGGGGCAGCACGTGGGGCCAGCCCCCAGCTACATAAAGGCGATCCTCGAACGGCTCTCACACCTTCCAATGGGACACTTGCTGAACATGTCTGATCTCAAGACTGGACTACAAGCTGACTGGCTTCGAAGGCCGTAGTATGGGCCCAAAAGACTTGGGACCCATCTTGGTTTTGTCGCTGGACTTTGAAAGGGATGATTTGTGAACCTTCAAATGAGGCCTTGTGGTTGCAATGGCGCTCAGTGTCTAAAGTGAGGTCGTCTAAGGGGACTTTGGGTCACTTCACAGCTCTGAGGCCGAGCCTGACTGCTGTTGCTGCTTGTTTGAAGATGAACGACGTAACAGTGGAGGCACTTCTTTGGCCCACGCGCGAGAGCATCAAGTGATACCAGTCGTGCAACAAGAACCTGAAAACCTGAACATTGTCGTTCATGCAAGCCACATTGAATTCTAGGCTTTTCCTTCTGCCACACGCTTTCCTTCGAATCCGAACAGCAACCGCCAACCCCACATCCCACCCCACCCACGTCCCGCCACCGCCCCGCCCCCGGCTCCTCCGTTGGGGGGCAGCTGGAGCTTGGTGACCTGCACAAAGCTCCGCTTGTCCACCTGCAGGAAGCCCTTGGCACCTGACAGAAACCCCCTTGGCACGGCTGGCCGACGCGAGCGCGAACCAAGAAATCGGGCGATGCAATCCACGGCCCCGCGAAATGCTTTTGTTTTTTCTTTTTCGGCCTGGTGATTTCTGGAAAGCATTTGGAAACACTTGCGCCATGGTAACTCGGTTTGTCTGGCCCTTAGGCACGGATCCCTCAAGGATCATTATACGTAATAGATAACGATCCTCAACAAATTGACCATCCCGGCTAGCCCAAGCAAAGGGTCTTTTGACCATGCCACACTTGGGAAGTCGGGAATTCGGGATTCATTGAAATATGTCACGTAAAACCGGGGGGGGGGACCACTTCTGTCTGGTGCAGGGCAACTTGGTGGAAACAACACATGTATCATGTCAAGAATCCCTGTGCACACCTGCTGTCATTCCCCGCATGCATCTGAGATTCTCCGCCAAAAGCCTCCATCTTCCCTCGCAAAACTACTTACCACGCCAAAAAACAATCGGACTCCAGGTAATTAGCTCCTTTGATTCGCTCCCGCTAAAAGCCAAGTACTTGGAGCCGGTCTCCCAGCTCCGCCCGCCGCGCCTTCCACGGAGATGGGCTCCACGAAGCCAAAGGCGAAGCAATCCTCGGCTTCGGCGCTTCGGGGCACCGGGCGGCTACCGGCGCCGACCGGCGCGCCGAGTCTGTTGTCGGGGCTGGCTTTCTGCGAAGCACTGCTTAAAAGTGAGGAAATTTTCGTGGTTTGATACGGAAAACCCCATGAAAGAAGGCAACAAGTTAAAGTCCTAATTAACATCCCTGGGCAAATTGCACCAAAGTCTTGAGGGTGAGTTGTTTCAAGACCATCTGTCCCACAAGAAGCCATGGTTTCTGTGACTTCACTGGGCTGTCCTCAGATGCCCCGCTGAAAGGTGAACTTTTCGTGGGTTCGTTGGACACCCCCACTAAACCAACGAAAAAGAACTTCACACGCTGAGGAACCGGATGCCTGGGAACCGGATCCCAAGTTCAGTGAACACCTCAAGCCAGGCCTTGGGGAGGTAATCCATCTGGAAGTCGAAGTCGGCTGTGGTGGCGCCGCTGCACACTTGATTGGCCTCATGAGCCATCTCAAGGAAACAGCTAAGGTCGAACCAAGCGAACAGCGCCCAAAACCCAGTGAAGATGCCCTTCCTCCCACTAACATGGCACCTGAGGGAGGGCATCCGAAAGATCAGTTTCCTCTTCAAGGGTACCAAGATGGTGCTAACGCTAGAAGGTTGACTTTGTCACGTGGGGTTTTGGGCGCTGCTCACGAGTTGCTGCACTAGCTTGGGCGACTCGAGAGCTATGACTCTCTGCTCTAAACATGGTCCGGGGACCTTGTCATGGATCAGCGGAAAACCAACAGTCAACGAACAATACTTTCCAACTTAGGAGGTTCTTGACATCATGGCCCAGCGTGGATCCGTCATGCAGCTCAGAATGGGCATCTCAGGTTTAACGACCCGAAAATGGCAGCAGAGAAAGACGAACCCATATCTCACCTTGTCCAAATCAATCACTCTCCAAATTCATCAATCGCCGGACACAATGTCCATCCTTTCAAGAGCAACCCGCAGAACCCCTACAGTCCTAACCACGCGCTTTTGTTCTTTTCTTTTTTTCCCGCAGCATCACCCATTCCCCGCCCGGGTCCAGCGGCGAGCTCCCTGCCGCGAGCCCTCCCAAACCCCCCACCGCGACGAAAAACCCGATAAATCCGAAGCGGCGTAGGTGTAGAGAGGATTGGCGCCGTGCTGCTCCTCGATGGCGATCTGCATCTCTTCCTGCGAGGCCAGGAATACTTCTCGGCCCCAAAACGAAGACGTGGAGCCCAAACAAGGGGTTTACACAAAAATAATAATGGAAAAACTCCAAAAGCCATGGGGTGGTCAGGTTCAATCTCCAGGAGCGAAAGTGGCCGGACAATAGGTGTGCCCTCTACAGTGTCAACTTCTGCGTCCTCAACTAAGGAAAACCAAAAGGCGATTGAACAATCGGTGCCTCCATGGGTTTGGGTCAAGAAACAGGCACCCAAAATTAAGCCATGGTACATGAGAAGGGCTAAACCCCTCTGTCCATGTCCTGGCGGTTACATTTGGACCCATACCCACATCATGGTAAGGGGCATTGCCCAACACCTGGCCTCCTCTACTGCGATGTGCTCTTTCTCCTTCTCCTCCTCCACCTTCCTCCGCGCAATGCGGTCCTTCCAGCGGAAGCTTCACGACCGGGGACTTCTGAGGTGAGCCCACACGAGAAAGTGCGATCGCCGGCAATCTGTCACTGGGCTGTTCCCAGATCCCCTGCTAACTGTTGCTGGTTTAGTGGAAACTAAACACTAAAAAGCTCAAAACCTAGGCAACCGGATGGATGGGAAGCGCCAAGATCAGATTTCGTTTCTGCCAGAAATTCGAAGAGTGACTCTCACACTGTCGCTTCGTTCCCGCGAGCTAAGAGCAAGAAGTCATGTTCCAGCTCGGTCAAACCAAAAACAGTTCAAAGGACTAGCCGAAAAGCCCAAATGCCCAATGTTTATGGCGTGAAATATTCACCTACCGCTCCTAACCTCCTCATGTACAATGTATCTTTGGAAGAGCCCTGATTCAGGTCATAAGTTCCGACATCCCCTTCCCCCCCCCGTTTCAATGAATCTATTCGCATTCAGGCTGCAAGTTCATGTTTCAGGGTGAAGTTCCCCTTCTGCCCTTCCCTCACTCCCTCCAAATACCCGCAGTTGTGAGGGTATGCTACATTGCCTTTACTTCCCCAACTGGCTAGAAAATAAGACTACATTCATTTCAGCATAAATTGGAGTGGGTCAAAAAGAGGCACCCAAAATGCCTTGCTCTCGCAAGGGGAAACATGGATTGACTCAAACCTGTATCCGCCCTGGAGCTTGACAAGCGGTATACCTGAATTCAGTTGATAGATTTCCTTTACTTCCACGTTTCAGCAAATGGATTGGCCAAAAACGTCCACACTTTCTGTTTACTACTAAAATGGTCTTCCGGAAGTGAGTACCCAAATGGAGGCAAGCGGTATCCGTCCTGGAGCTTGTTGGAGATGGTGTCCCGCTCCTTCTGCGAGATCTCCGCCTTCTTCGAGATCTCCCGCTTCAGGGCCGGCGGCCCGCGCCCTGGCCCACCACCTAGGATCTCTCTCTCTCTCTCTCTCTCTCTCTCTCTCTCTCTCTCTCTCTCTCTCTCTGGCTCAGTGATGGAACCCATGGATTCATAAATCCCATCTTTTGTCAATAAGGGGGTGTCCCTGGTTTAATCGGGGAGCTCTCACTATTGGAGGAAACACCCGCCCTATTGGGGTCAACACTACCCTTTTTGGTTGGTTTAAAGGGGAATCAAAGGGCAACCCGTTCCCCTTTTTTGGAACAAACCCTTATCTACAGAGAACGATGGTTGAACATAATTTCGATGCTAATCCTGTGCCAGTATCAACCAAAAGGTTTTGCGTGTTGGTGATGGCACACGGAGCAACATAGATGGTTGACTCGACCTAAAGCTTAAGCATCATGAAATATGTCAGTGTCGGTTTCACTTGGCTTGTGGAGTCTCTCAATGGGTTGTTAGTAACAAATGTTTGACCAATCCACGGGCCCTATTGAAATGAGCATAATGAGCAACTTTTGCTCAGCACATCGCGGGGCTCCTTGCCCAACTCCCAAGCCGGAATGGCTATTCGAAAAGAACTGCGCATGACGATTCAGGGGTGGGGGCCTCTGGTTTGTTTCACAGCTCCCCAAAATCTCTCACCCCTGAATCCCTCTCCACCGCACGTCGGTGAAGGACACTGGATTCGGCTTCTATGCCGTAAACACCGGAGGCTAGCACCCTCAGAAGAGCTTCTAGCGACCCGTTCTTCTTCGTCAGGCCGTCCGCGATCATGTCCCGGTGCTCCACCCATCTCACACGCCCATGGAGGGCCCTCAGCTCCTCCTTGAGCAGCTGCAAGTCGATGGCGTTCCTTCGATCTTGGCCACCGTGAGTGTCTTTCGACACAATGTCATAGAGCGACTTGGCATCCACCACCGCCAATGCCTGCTGCAACGTCTCCTGCGAACCTTCGCTCGCCAACGCCAGGTAGCCGCGCTCCCGTACTTGATGCTGCCAGTCGTGCAAGTTGAATCTAGGCTCCGCGATCTCCAAGTACACCACTTGCGCCCAGATCATCTCACCAACTCCACGCGCCAGTGACTGTGTTTCCGCAGCCAACGTTGATCCAACCACCCGAGGTAGCTTTCCACTCTTCCAGATCAGGACGTTCGTCTTTGCCTGCTTGCCCTGCATCAACTCCTCGTTGAAGGTGATTATCACATGGCCACCTTGCGACTTGTTGCCCACGGTGTTCGCCCAGCTGGCGTCTGTCACGACGCAAGGACCAGGTGCGGATGCTGTGGAGAACAATGCGAGGCTAGATGGAGTTCCGGGAAGTGGTTTTGGTCCGGCTCGCAGCACGGGTGTAAGCAGGTGGAGGAACAATGCGGAAGCGCCCTACTTCAACGAGGTCTTCTTCGACTTCGAGGGAGGCAAGGAGGCTGAGGTGACCAAGGTGACGAACGACTACTGGATCTACGACCAGGTGAAGAAGGTGCTGCAAAGGCACCATGTCCAAAGAGCGGAAACACCGCTTCATGCCGACAGAATGTCGGGAGTGTCCTGTACCTCTGCGAGCGATCAAGAGAGGCCGGAAGACACTCATGAAGTTCGCAGATGGGCAGGAGAGACAGGAAGAAGACCAATGGGGCTGGATGGATACGCGAAGGGCAACTAGGAACTATTGGAGAGGAGTCACCGAGTTCGCCGTGGACGAAGCCCAGCTGAAGACCAACAACGCATGGGGAAGAGACGCGGAGATGGCGAGATCTATGAGCACGAGATCAAGGCGGAGGAGAAAGAACTGTGGAACCAGAGCGACCAAGACGAGTGGGGCAAGATCGTGGAAAGCGGCGCGGTCAAGGTGCTGAGCTTCCCAGAGTCGCAGCGTGTGAAAAAGGAGCTGGCCAATCGGGGCGAGCTGAATAGGATTTTGCCTACGCGGATGGTGAGGAGGCACAAGCCATCAGAGGAGGTCGGCAAGGGCCCTTCAAGAAAGTCACGGTGGTGCATACGGGGAGATCGGGATCCAGACATCTTGGAGCTTGAACGCTTTGCACCTACGGTGGCAACATCGAGCTTGCAGGTGGCTTTGCAGGCCGCGATGAATCACGACCTGAAGATGAAGGTGGGCGACCTCAAGAGCGCCTTCACACAAAGTGCACCGTTGTGCAGGAAGAAGGGGAAGATCTACTGCATGCAGTGCTCCGGCGGTCACAACGACATGCAGGAAGGACAGTTGATCGAGGTGGTCCTAAGTTGCTACGGACTACCAGACTCCCCGCTTCACTGGAGGCGGACGCTGAGGCAGTATCTCATCAAGACACTCGGCTATAAGCCGACCCGTATGGATCCATGCACCTTTTTGTTGCACGGAGTGCCAGATGAGGGAGGTCCGGAGAAGTTGCTTGGTATCATCTTAGTCGAAATCGACGACTTACTCATGATGGGCCAGAAGGAACACGACTGCAAGATGGAGGACCTTCAGAGACGGTTCCGTTTTGGGAAAATGGAGAACGTGGATGAGAAGGGCGTGGGCTTCAATGGGCGGAGGCTTCGCATGGAGAAGGGTCGGGTGCTGATCGACATGGAGAAGTTCGTGTCGGAAAGAATGGAGGAGATCGTGGTGTCAGCTGAGCGTCGGAAGCAAGCGGACCAGCCGTTGACTTCCGAGGAGACCAGCATGGCTCGCAGCGTGTGTGGAGCTCTCAATTGGGCCGGCAAGGAAGGCAGACCTGATGCTTCGGCAGCAGCCTCTATGTACTCGTCAAAGCTGAAGACAATGGTGGTCAGTGATCTGCTGCAGATCAACAAGGTTGTGAAGCGTTTGCAAGAGAATGCCGGGCTCACCCTCCAGGTTCAGAAGCTTGACAGGATGAAATGGGGCAGATGAACCGGCGTTTCCTCCTCTAACTCTGATCGTGACTCCGAATTTGATCTCAGAGCCCCCTCTGACAACTCCCCAGGCGGCTCTCCTTCCTCCATGCCTCGATCCTCCTCCGGTACTCGAGGTATCTCCGCTTCTCCTTCATCACGTCGAGCTCTTGGACGCCCACGCTCATCACCTTCACGAAGCACGTCATCTTCTGCTGGTGCTTCAGCTCCATGTGCATCTCCATCACCTCGCTCTTCATCGTCTTCTCCAGCTTCTCGAGTGACATCTCTGTAGCCGGGCCTGTTGGGATTTCTCTTCAGCCTTTCTCGCATCTCCTCGAAGGACTCCGCCACTACCTCAGCGCCCATCCTCTCCTCATACGTGGCATGTCGGGTCTGCTCCGCAGACACTCGCCACAGTTCTCCCATCATGTTGATCCACAGGATGGCACCTTCCACGGTCAGGATCGTTCCCGGACCTGTCCACACCGCCTTCTGTGTAACTCTACCTCCTCCACCAGACACGGTTCTCCTTTGTCTCATGACCCGGTACACATACACCAGATCACCTGGCTTCCAATCTCGCTGTACCCGTGGTCTCGCCTTCAGAGCCTTCTGCGCCACTCTATGAGCATTGGCTTTGACGAACGCCTCCTGAGCAATCTCCCTCATCTGCATCTGCTTGATGTAGTCGTCCGTGTTGTTTTGGCTTTGCAAGGCTGGGTCTATCAACTCATCTGACATCAGCGACGATGGCACCCGCGGCCACTGCCCAATTTGCCGCTGTACTGGGCTATAGCCTGATCTGTTACTGAACCTGTTCTTGGCGGCCTCCACCTCGTACATGAGAAGCCTGAGTTCCTGATGGCTAGCGGGAGGAAGCGAACTTCTAGCGTGAGCCAGCATAGACTTGTAAAGTCCTCCATGCCGTTCCACTCTCCCTTGTTGCCAAGGTTGCTTGCGATGGTGAAGACAATGATCCCGGCCTCCTGACACAGCCTTGCGAACTCGCCCTTGAACTCCGTCCCTTCATCCACCGCGACATACTCCGGGAGCCCGAACACCCTGGTCCATGCTCTCCACATCGCTTCCCACACGAGCTTGGGCTCCTTCGCGTCGATCGGCTCGACCATCTGAAAGTTCGTTCCCAGATCCACCATGTTCACGGCAGGCATCAACGGCTGAGCCCCCTGCTCGTCTCCAGCTTTCGGGATGAACACGAGGTCAATCCTGAGAGCCAACCCCGGCCGATAGGTCTTGGGTACAACTGCTGGTCTTGGTGCTTTGGGAAGTGGATGTGCCTCACACTCTGGACACCTGAACTCCTGTTGCACCCACCGCACAATCTCTTCTCTCACGCGTCCTGCCCTCAGCATTCGAAGGAACGCCAGCTTGTCGGGGTGTCCCACATTGTCATGAATCTTCTTGACTAATCCTTGTTCGTCCGAGACGTTCACGTCGTGCAGCTCGTTCTTCTTCTCTCACGATGTCTTCTTCCAGGTCTTCGTCCTCTTCCATGTAGACATCTACGATCCCATCGTCTTCGCCCTCTCTCATCTTGCTTTCCTGCTCTACCTCGTCCTTGCCGAAGAGCTCGGTGTCGTCGTAGTAGCTCCCAGCAAACCGCACAACCTTCTTCCTCCTGATGTACTTCTTTAGACCCACAACGATCGCTTCACATAGAGCAGGAGGATATATCGCCGCTTTTGCGGCTTTTCCGCTCATCAGGGTGACATGGGAATGATCGCTTGTGCACTGCTTATCGAGCTCCTCCGCCACCTCCCAGCAGTTTGTCATCCACCTCGTTGGTTTGTAGTTGAGGCCAGTCCCATCGACATTCATCCCGAAGGCACACATGTGATTCACCACCACCATAACGCCGTCCATTTCTCGCACGCCCTGTATAGGCTTCTCTTCCCAAGCCTTGGAACCATCGGGCTGCTCGAAAGCAAACAGTCGCCCTCGTCGGTGCTGCCACCGCATGATTCCTGCGCATAGCTCCATGTCCTCCACACTGGCGTTGAGCAGAGTGATCGCCTTGTCCCAGTCCATCTTGGGATAGTTCAGGCTTTGCAGCTTGCAGAAGGCTGTGCACGGCGGACTCAGCAGGATCATCAGCGGCTGCTGCTCGCGTAGGGCCCTCCACATCCTCCTCCGATCTGGCTCACTCCTCAGGTCAAAACCGTTCTTGATGTCGAAGGAGCCTCCAGGATTTAGCCCTTTTTGTTTGGCCACCGGAACCACCCTTGGTGGCGAAAAGACCTCTGCGTCCACCTCCTTCTTCTCCGCGTCTGGCAGTTGATCCATCGCCTTCCGCAACCTCTTTCGGACGTGTCGATTCAAGGCCGTTTCCTCCGGTTGCTCCACCATCTCCTCCATAATGAACCTGTGCGACGGCTGAACCTTCGCGTAGACGCCGTCCGGGGTCTCCCTAACTTCTTTCACGGTAAGCCATCCATTGCACATTTGCCCAGCGCCCCATCCGGTCTCTGCGTTCTTCACTTTACACCACTGGCTCATTGACTCCGGCGTGGGCTCTTTGATGACCTGGAAATGGTCCTCATCGGGATGAGGTTCCGCTTGACGATCTCGTGGAATCAGATCCCATGAGTTTTTCTCGTCTATCTCCATCTGATCCTCCGACCCCATGCCCGAGAGCGTCTGCATGGTCTCCACGTGCTTCAGGGCCCGTGCCATCTGCTCCATCTTGCGCCTCATCTGGAACATCTCTCTCCGGTACTCCTCGATCTTCTCCGACTCTGCCTTGTGCATCTCCTGGCTGGAGCCCTTGCCCTTGGTGTTGTCCGTGATCGGCTTCTTCGGCCCGCCCAGCGGCTTGCCCTCCTTGATCAGCTCCTTGACCTCCGCGACCGTCAGCTCCAATCGCCATCTCGAATTGCACTGAGCACACCACGTAGCTCTGGAATTTGTTTGACCGAAGGCGGTGTCTTGCTCTTCATTGGTGGCAGTTCTTCGGCGTTCCTGATGAGCTCGGCGAATGCTCCGCATAAGCCCATCCCAATTGACGCACGATAGCCCTGCACCTCCTCCAACGGCCCAATTGACAGCCATTCTGATACCCATCCGTGAAGGGCCACAAAGTCGCTCAGGTCCAGGTAGCGATCTAGAAGGACCCTCCAGTTTCGGAGCGCTCTTCTCGGGTTGATGTGGACCAGCGCCTCCTCGCTCACCTTTGCCTTGACTTGGATCGGCGTGAGGTCCGCCTCCTTGATCTTGCCCACCAAGGTAAGCGGCATTGCAGGAGAAGGCGAGTACTGAATTGGGTTCGTCAACCTTTCTCATTGACGGGGCTAGTATTGAAGCCGAAGCAGCGGCACCCGGTAGTCGAAACTGCCTTGCATGATAACCGCTACCTTTGGCCTCGCTGCCCACCGTGAATTTCCCAGGGCCAAAGTTCAATACATCAACCGTCACATGCCCACTTGGCAGCTGTTGCATCGGCAGAGTGTGCTTGCCCCCAAACAACTTCAAAAGCATGTTCGGCAAATCGATGACGGCCTCAAGCTGACGAAGGAGCTTTATGGGAACCAAGAGGGGTACCATCTCCTTGACGACCGTAGTCTCCAATATCCCGTGAACCCCATCAAGTCCCAAAGGCAGCGCGACTATCCCGAGTGTTTGCGCGCGTCCTCCAACTCCCTGTGCTCTTCCCTTCCGGTTTGTCCAGACAGGCTGCAAGTCGAAGCCTGCTAAGGCTTCCTGTAAACTCTTCAGCTCTTGCTCTCCGATGAGACCATCTTGAGCGGCTGTATCCACTACTCCATGATGGGGTGCAGTTGAGATACCGCATTCTTCCTCCTGGGATTGCTCCTTCACAATGTCCCCAAAATCATTGTGACCGCTCTGCACTCCCTGTCTGGGAAAAATTGCCTCTCACTCTCAGACTCTGAGTGTTCCCCTTCCACTCAGCCTGACAGGCATCGGACCGTCCCACCGTTCCTCCCAAGAAACAGTAACTGGTCCTAATGCTCCCCTGTTTCCCTTCGCCTTCTACGTGCGGCTCCAGGTTGCAGAACCATGTCTTGTTCGTAGCGCTCGTTGCTGTGGTATTCCTGGAGGCCACCGAAGAGGCCGACGACGTGGCTGCAAAGCGTCGGGCATTTTCTTGTCCTCGTTGGTCTGGTTGGGCTGCCCGACATTCACGAGCCCAATGCCCCACGGTCCCACATCGCGCGCACCTTGTCCTCAACTTCAGCTCGATGTGGATCCTATTCTTGCCCTTGCCCTTGCCAGCCCCTTTTTCAGAAGCCCCGCGTCCAAAGCCTCCAGGATTGCGGTAGTACTGTCTGCCCTTCTGCTGGGCATTGATCGCGCCAAAGCCTCCATGACCTCGCCTTCCTCATAGATCTCCTGCAAGTCGCCTTCTTGAAGATAGACGTAGTCCTCCTCGCTTCCCACATCATCCGCCGCATCTTCAAACTGGTTCCCCGGGTGCTCCTCAAGGCCCTCGTACTCAGCAAATGTTCTTCGACTTGGTCTTGTCATCCTTTAGAACCTTGTCAAGCTTCCGGAGGGCTCCGATGATGCGGTCGTAGTCAAACTTGTTCTCGGTCCAGGTAGACAGCTTAAGCTCTTGTCCTTCTGTGAGTCCCGCCTGCCGGTAGTAGATGTAGCCCCGAGCCTCACTGGGAAGTTTCACTCCTTCCTGGATGAGCTTGGTGTGTGCCTGGTCCATCCGGATGATGTAGTCCTGAAAGTCCTCTTTCGCCGATCGTGGACCAGCGTAGATAGCCCCTTCCAGGGCTCGCGCCAAGCCCACCTCCAGGTGTGGCTTGTAGTGCTCCCTGAGAGCCTTCATGATGTTCTCCATGCCCTTCTCGCAGGCCAGCTCCTCGAAGGGCAAACTGTCCACGATAGCTCTGGCGCTTCCACTAAGACTCCTCATGAGGCGAACCCCTTTCTTCTTGTCCTCCGTCTCCGTCTCGAAGCACCAAAGCTTCACGTCCCTCTCATAGCGTGGGAACTCCACATGGGGCGAACTTCCGTCCCACATCGGTGGAGGAGCATCCTTGCCGTAGGAGACCTTCTGCGTCTCCTCCGTCTTCTCAGAGGCACCGGCCATGGCGACCTAACCCCGGTTTCAGAACCGAGGCTCCGCTACCATGAGCAACTTTTGCTCAGCACATCGCGGGGCTCCTTGCCCACTCCCAAGCCGGAATGGCTATTCGAAAAGCACTGCACATGACGATTCAGGGGTGGGGGCCTCTGGTTTGTTTCACAGTTAAAGGGGAATCAAAGGGCAACCCGTTCCCCCTTTTTTGGAACAAACCCTTATCTATAGAGAACGATGGTTGAACATAATTTCGATGCTAATCCTGTGCCAGTATCAACCAAAAGGTTTTACGTGTTGGTGATGGCACACGGAGCAACATAGATGGTTGACTCGACCTAAAGCTTAAGCATCATGAAATATGTCAGTGTCGGTTTCACTTGGCTTGTGGAGTCTCTCAATGGGTTGTTAGTAACAAATGTTTGACCAATCCACGGACCCTATTGAAATGAGCATAATTATTTTGATTCCTGTTAAGGTTCATGGCCGCTGAGAGGTCAGCTGAAAAGCTTCTTAGCTTTCCTTTCCGTCAAGTGGCAAATGGGGAAGCCCGATCACTTGGTGTTATGGCGATTGGATCCCCTCCAATTTCTGTTTCCAGCCCAAAATGCAGCTCTCTGAGCTATCCTTTCGAACAAATGGGCCGACCTACAGAAACCAAAAAAAAACACCCATCACCTTTCGCAACCCCACCTTGGGGACCCTGAAGGACCCTGAAGACCCATTTTGACCCCCTGGCAAACCCATTTTGGCGCCCCTTGGCACCGGCGCGCGCTCTCTCCGCGCGCGCGCGCCTCGGCTGTCGGAGGTGGCGCGCCCCAAGGTGGGGGGCACTCCGAGGCTGGGGGTTTTGGTCATCACCTCCGGAGCGCCTCAGCGTGGCGCGCCGCGAGGCTTCCGTTGGCTGCTCCTTCTTTTGGAGCTGGGTTTTCACCTGGGGCTTTTGGTGGGTGTTTAAGGGAAACCCAAGGAAAACCACATGGGTTTGTTGCAGATTTGTTTAAGCAAAAAGCTCCTGTGGTGCGAAGGGTAGCCTTTGAGACGGGATTAGAGGGAAGAAGGAAAACCGCTGGATTTGCACTATTTTGCGACACACCTATGCCTATTTGAGGTGGCCTTGACCGTTTTGAGGGAGCCCAGCAAATATTGCAAGGCAAGGCGGCTGGAGTTGACAAAGGCGTGTCTTGTTGCGTGTGCCTCACCAATGAAATGACCAACCAAGCAAGCAGTTAAGCAACCAAGCAACCAAGCAGCCAGGCAACCAATCACATTCACTGCAAGTCCACACCAGTGCAGCAGCTAAGTGGGATGATCATAGCTGGTCAGCATAGCTAAGTGAATGTGTAAGAGCTAGCCAGTTGCCCTTGTGCAACCTGCAGGATGTTTTGGCTTCCGGCCACACAGTGCTTAAAAAAAAGGAAGCCCATCCGAACCTTACATGGACTGCCGATACCCTGACACGCCCAAGGGGGGATGAGTGCAAATAGCGTACGAGAAGCTCTCAGTTGGACCACGCCAACGGGGAAAACAAAAAAAAATGCTTCAGCAGAAGTCTTCCCGCAAAGAAAACACAGGAGATCCGCCAAACTTTCAGAGCACCGCTCGGATTTCTGTGCCCTTCCCCTTGGACCGCTCCCGACCCGAAAACTTCCGTAAGGTCCCTAAGGCTCCCTTAAGGAGCCATCAGTCGAAGCAACGCTTAGGCACAGGAGAACCCCCGAGAAATCCGAACCCGCAGGTGTCCAGCCTTCACCAGAAACCCTTGACTATCTTGTTCGAATGAGACCTCCTTGATTCCCTTTCATGACGGCCAGGCTCTGGTTGGTTCAATCCAGACGGCCTCGATCGCTTGCGATCGAGGCGCCGGTCACGGCTCGGTCCAGCGCGGGCGGCCCCGGCGCCGCGGACCCCGCGCCCGCGGGGGCGGCCAGCTGCAGCTGGGTACCCAGCTCCGTGGCGATGGCGTGGTCCCCGCTCATGAAGGCATCTACCTCGAGCCATCGGTTTGCCTGAAAAATGGGTCAAAACCAGCTGCTCAAACCCGGAGTTTTCTCTAAGAAACTATGTTCCATGCCCATTCTTTCCAGGGAAACCCGGTGCTTTCTAGGAAAACCCGTGGGTGCTGTAGATCTGCCGGGAGCAAACAGTTTGTAACTTGTTGCAGGTGACAAAAGGGAAATATAAGGGTATCCAAAACATCTAAAGTCTAAAGATCCAACCCAATAGCAGTAGAGCCATTAAATGAGCCTCAAAAATCGGTCAAAGTCTTGCGTGACAACCAAGTTGACAATTCCTCACAACCACCATCCGACCAAACGCAAACTGCGGGCCAAAGTCAAATGCCCACCACCGTTGAAGAGCCGGAAAATGGCACGGAGCTTCGCCGTCGCCGAAGCGGATCTCCAAAGAGGCCACCACATGTGACGCGACAACCAGCCGCTCGCCTTGTGCTTCACAAATCCGAAGAACTCGCGGTAGGACACCACCTCAGCGCAAAACGTGAGACGCTTTGGGGCCAAAGAGTTCCGAGAGGGGAGAAACATAAGGGGCTGTCTCTTCAAGGACACCCTTTTTGGGGGTTGTGATTCATTGGAAAACCGCGGGGAAACCGTCGGGAAGCCACCCATTTTGGCTCTTTGCCCAGACGCTCCCTGTGGTCATGGGTCAAAAAGAAAGCAGGAAAAGACAAGCAACATGAACAGCCTCAAGGTGTAGAAGTCATAGGGCCTGCGCCAAGATCACCGAACGAGAAACTCTCCAAAAACTCCCCCGGAGCTTTTTAAAAAAAAAGGGCCTCGCGGTCCGGCCAAACATCACGGCGCGGTGGGTCCCTTCAAGGCGACTTCAAGACCTCGGCCAACACGTAGGACACAATCCATCAGAACGCACTCCGACCCAAGCCCCTGAAATGGCTTGGGTCAGGTAGGGGCAAAACGGAATCTCCAGCCAGAGTTATGTTCTCTATCTGGACTGTCCTTGGCCGAGTGGCTCAAGCTTTTTGCCAATCACTTGACCACATTGACACCACAACTCCTCCCTTGTCATCATCTCCAACCCTTAGTGCCACCAAACAATGCCCAGAACCCACATGGCTGTGGGTCAAAATTAAGCCACCAGGAATTGGACAGCAGGTTTTAGTCTTTGGCTCCATTTACCAGACCAAGCCATTTTGGGGATTCCTACTTTTGACCCAGAACCCACATAACCAACAAGCTCCCCTTCCGGCTTCCCGCAACCCACCCGCAACCCACCGTCTGAGGCGCGTGGTCCCCGCTCTCGTCCATGGCCTCGAGCCAGTCCAGGATCTCGTCGGGCCCCGTGTGGAAGCCCATGTGTCGCAGCGCTTGGCAGATCTCGATGGGCCCTAAGAAGCCTACCTCAGCCAGCCGCGAGTCTTCCATGTGCTTGAGTCTACCGGAAAAATATAGATATTTAATTATTGTTATGTTATGTTTATTTTAATGTTATTTTTTGTTTTAACATGTCCAGTAGTGAGCGAGTCTACTGGAAATATCTATATATTGTTTAACGCATTTCCAGTACTGAGCGATTCCCTTTAAAACCAGCAGGGGAAAATAAAAAAATGGTCTTGAGCAAATGGAAGGAGTGGAGCGCGGCGAGAGGCAAAGGCGTCGAAAGTGTCGGGAGCACGCGAGCGGAAAAACGGGGCGAGGGAGACGAAGAAAGCCTACTGAACCGGAGATGTGGGTGACCCTCTCATGGGTCAGAAGTGGGGTTAAACCATTGAATTGTCAGAGTTGTGGCCGTGGTTGGAAGCTACCTACTTAGTAGTTTCGAAACATCCAAGCAAGAACTCGGGCGAAAAGAGGAATGCGCCGAGCATCGGGGCAATGGATCGGGCGGATCGGGGACAAGGGGAAGTGGAAGAGCAGTCGGGAACGAAGGGGCCTAAAGTCTGAAGAGATTGGTGTGCGACCTCCGCGTCAAGTTAGGTATTCAAGCCGAGAGTGCCACAGATCGTCCCCGGGGTTGCGGGTAAGCTGAGAATCCCAAAATGAAGAAACGGGAAAACGTGGGAAGCAACTGAAACTCAGAGCTCCTCGTAAGTTGATCTAAAATCCTTTAAACATTCAATTACAGTTCAATTCAGAAGCAATTGCTGCCCTGCGAGACATATGGTGTCAACATGGGGTGACCCTCTAAAATGATGGTTGTGCTTCTGGTTTCTCAGGTGAATAAGTACCCTTCGACTCAATTCCTGAGTGGATGGCTGAAAAAAAGTTCCAAAAGTGTTGAAGTACCACTCCTAGCCAAAAAGTAACGATCAACTCCGAAACGGAACTCGGGAAGTGAGTCACGACCCCCTACACTGATGGTTGTCCATTGGTTTCTCAGAGGAAATAAGTACCCTTCAACTCACTTCCCTCAAAACAAGTCCCCAAACTGCTGATTTGCAACTTGCAACTAAAATGGTCCAAGCCCCCGCCCAAAAAGTAAGGATCAACTCTGAAATGGAACCCGGGAAGTGAGTCACAATACACTAAAATTGTGGTTGCCCAAAATGTTACTGACTTCCAAGGTGATATGAGCATCCTATCACCTCGATAAATGGGTTCCCTTCAAACCACATCACATTTGCTCTGGTCCACCCTCAAACCTCAAAACTCAACCCGCCACCGCCCAAAAACAAATTCCGCCACACCCCGCCTGCTGGAGGTCGAATCGCTCGAAGGCCTCCTGGACCCCCAGGCCCTTGCCGCTGATGGTCTCACGCAGCCGCACCGCCCCTGTGACGAGCCGCGAGCCGCCGAGCCGAAAGAAACGGGCCGGGGGGCGAGGTGAGACTCGTTTTTGGCGGCGGGGCGGTGCTTTCTTCTCTCCCTGCTTTGGGGCGGGGCGGGGCTTTAAAGCGACGCCATTTGTGTCGGTGTCTTTTTTGGATGTATTTCTTTTTTGGAGGTGGTGACGTTGAAGGAAAACCACGATGGACACTTTAGACTGCAACCTTTCCTGTCGCACCCCAAACCCCAAATCCCAACCCAAACCGCAAACCCCAAGCCTCAAACCCCAACCCGCCCGCAGACCCACCCTAAAGCCGTTGGGTTGTGCAAATTAAATGGGTGCGTCTTGAAATAGACCCAATATTTTCGGTTTGCTTTGTGGATTCCCTTCCAACAAAAGAGTTCCCTCAAAAAAACACACACACACATGGTGTGTCAAATAGGGACTTTGGACCCTATAGATTGATGGTATTCCTTTTGAAGGTTTGACCAACTGAATTCTGGCAAGCCCGCGTTTGAATGAATTGCAGGTGTCTTGTGTTGGACGGTACCCAATGTTCTTGCGGATTTGAAGCCACAATTCTTGCCGGGTCATTTCAGGAAACACCCGTGCTCCTGCCTCATGATTTAGATTTTTCTTGTTTTCCGAGTCAAGAGCCATTCAGCGGCAGATGTATTGGGTGCAGGCCAACCCGTTGGCCTGCACCCCCAACGGGCCCCAAACCAGTTTGTCTTGCAATGAGGGGGCGCACAAAACGTTGGCTCCTTTGGCTCTCCATTCAAAACCAACCCAACACAGCAACACACCCAAATCCGCCTTCCCAGAAATGGGAAGGAAACAAGGTTGAGGTGATTCGCGTGGGCTTTGCGAAACAAGGCCAGCCAACCCAACCCGGACATGCTAAAAGCTCTGTCCCAACTTTAGCGGCTATCAGCGGTTAATTGATGTGCTACTTGACTCTCGATTGTTACGTATAGGAGTAACAAATATAACAACCAGACCAGCACATGTAACCAGCGACACAGTGTTATACCTCACCGATACCTCGTGTGCATCTCTCTCCCTTCAGTCGATATGGGGCATATACCTGGGAAGCACAACCTCGGGTTGTCGAAAGCAAGAGAAGTGTTCTCCTCCGCCCCCTTTCCACCAGAGCATGTTTGCTTCAACAACCAAACTGAAGGCCCCTTTGAAAAGGAAGCCAAAGGGAAGTTGCTTTAACAAATTTGGCTTTAATGGCCGGTGCTTGGGCACCTCCGATGTCATTGGTTTGTGGTACACATAGCCATCCACTGCTTATCATACACTTGATCAAATTCGATGGGTGCGGCAACGCGGTCGCGCAAGAAAGCAGTGCAGTGCAAGTTTAAACAAGTGGGTATGTGTCAAAATAGGGGGTCCCAAAGAAACTGGTTGGTTTCATTTTGGTTTCCCTCAACCATCCCTTTTGAGGGGGTGTTCCAAAAACACACGCCCACAATCCACAAGTGGGTGGCAACCATTGGTATTATTTTGGAACCATAGATGGCACTGGTACAGGATTTGAATCCAGGGGAAACCAGTGCCATCCATTTTCAAACCAACCTAAAACTGACACCTTATGCCCACCACGTCCTTACAGAACTCCGAACGGCAGCTCCGAAAGGCTCCCTTTTTAGAAGCAAATTTCGATACCGGGGCCCCAGCTCCTTGTCCGGCTCCCTTGCCACCAACTTGAATCATCTGTTTCGTGGTTCTCCAACCAATGGTCATCCTAAAGGACATGGATAAATAGGTGAACCTCACACCCAGTGGGGTGAATAGAGGACCTATTGTGGATGGTTGCGAAATTCATTTCGCACCACCTGAGAAACCCTGGTTTCTGTTCTGATGGATTCATTTCGTGGTGCGAACGGACTTCGCAACCCTGGATGGACGAAATCCTGCACCACCCAAGAAACCATATAGGGGAAACCACTGTTCGTTGGTATTTACAGGGCATCAGACCACTCCAGGGCTTCTGAACGGTGGTGCGAATCGCGAACGGATTTCGCCACCCTCCACACTACTGTGGATGGACAAAATCCTGCACCACCTAAGAAACCCTGGAATGATGATTCTCCTGTAAATACCCACAAATTATGGTTTCCCATGGTTTCAAAGTGGTGCGAAATGGATTTCGCAACCCTCCACACTGTGTCGCCCCACGGGAAAAAATCCCGGCGCACAATTGTTTTTTTTCATCTTTTGGTTTCGCACGTTGCACCACACCGACGACATGTTGGATTGCCTTCCCCCTCAAGTATCACGGATTCTGGGTGATTTCTCCCGCCCAGGTTACAACCCCTGGCACGGAGCAGCCCCAGTTTCCCCACCAAAAAAAACGACACCAACCGCATTTTGGCCTGAAGCCAACTGCCAAACAAACTTCCCGCAGCAGGCGCCTTCCATTTTTTCTCTCAAAATCCGCCCGGCTCGATAGATGGATCGATCCCTCCAACGTCGCCCGACCTTTCCTTCCGAACTTCCCCACGCGCAAACCGCGGAAACTTCCTCGCCGGGCCGCGGATCCTCTGCACCATGATCTCAAACTCCGAGGGCACGGTGAGCGCCACCTCTGCCCGTCGCGGGGAGGAGAAGGCGGAGCTCCACACCCCAAAAGAGCCACGCGCTTTTTTGGGCTTTTTTTTAAGGGAGACCAAAATAAACAACCAGAAAAAAAGTGCGGTGTCCCGGATGGGTGTGATTTTAGGTTGGACCCCACACAAATTGCGATGTTCCTCTTGGTTTGCCCTTAAGACCATCAACAAAAATGGGCGCCCTCCAAGAAAGACACACCCATATTGTCCGACTCTGCTGTATATGAAAGCATGAAATAGATCTGGAGGAGACCCCAGAAAGTGGAGGAGCGAGTTTGGGGCAAGCAGCTAAGGGGTGCGTGATCATGCGAGAGGATATCACAACACCTGCTTGTTGAATCCGTATGGAAAATCCCCACATAGTTGCGGAAGACAGTACACCAGGATGACTAGATATACTTAGATATGGTGTCAAGAAAAGGGAGCCCAACAATTGCGGTGATCCTTTTTGGCTTCCCTGACAATTCCAACCAAAAGTTTAAACGGGGATCCATCCTTTTTCTAAGCGAACCCTTTTTTGGTTGGGTTAAAAGTAAACCCAAAAGGAAACCCACCATTTGTTGTTGTTGTTTCTTTGTTTTGGAGGGAGGTCCTCTACAGAAAGACCAACAAACAACATGCACTGGTGTCCTTTTTAGGCTAGTTTGGCTGAAATAGATGGTTTCCACTGCCGACTTGTTATTCCGTTTGCCACCTGGGTGAATTATAATATTTCACCAGCCTGAAATAAGGTGGTTGGGGCCTGTTTCGCACGTAAACCACCATTTGGGGAAACTTCCGTCGTGCGAAGTCGTTAGAATTCGCCCAGAAATCTTCCGCGTCTCAGTCGTCGTCCGTCCGAATCGCTTCCCAGGCGCCGCGATGGGGCGCTCCGCCCAGTCCCCGACCGCACGGCGCCGGCAGCCCCCGATCTGCTCGAAGAACCTCCGCCGGGCGAAGGGGGTCTCGTGCTGCAGGCCTCGCAGCAGCGCGGTGAGCTCCTCGTCCTTGTAGAAGACCTCCGGTTTGGACAATCTCTCGTGGATAAAAGACATATCTAGGGAAATCGATAAAAAAGGATGACAACATAACCACATGCGCTTCATGGACCAGCTGACTGGGGGCCTTGTTCGTTTTTATGTTTTGTTTTTGTTTTTTTCTTGGGGGGGGTGGGAACTTCATGGACCAGCGGACTGCGGGGTGGCCTTGGTGGTTTTAATCTCTTTTGTTTTCGGGCGGGGGGGGGGGGGGGCGGACCCACCAACATGTGGTGGTATTCCTTCTCATGTTCCTTTGGACCACCAACAACAAGTCCCTCGAAACAAGAACAACTCAGTTGGGAGGTGATCAAGATTACCTGCCAGGCCCCAAAATGACCACGGAGATAGCTTGTCGCATGTGGTTCTGTTGTCATCTTTTTTTGGTGGTTTCCCTACAGTATATATATATATATATATCTATCCACGGGAGGTGAGAAACCCGGAACTGGAGGTGTCCTTTTGTGGGGGGGGGACCCACCAAAATGAGTGGTTGTCCTTCTGGCCTGCCTTTGAAAAAACCAACCAAAAGTTCCTCTCACTTGGAAACTCGGATGAGCCACGTGCTGAAAAACCCAGGTAGATGAAGGTCAGTAAGGGATAATCCCCTTGCCATAATATGGGTGCCTTCCCCGCCTTTTGAATTCTTTTGGGTAAACCATTTTCGTACCCGGTTTTTATTATGACTCGTTTGGGGAGGTGACAAAACCGGACCTCCAACTACTCAGCTTCCTTTCAGTTGCAGGCTAGGGGTTTGGTGGCTTGGAGGTGTTCCGGGGCGGTTTCCCATTTGCCCTCCACAAGAACCAGGGGTTCAATCCTCCAAACCAGCAATGCAAGCCAGCGATAAGGAGTTACCTGACAAATGCGGTGAGAAAAAGATGGGGGAGACTACCCCCGGGTTGGCGCTGATTGGTCTGTTCTTTATGACCGACAGGTGATGCTTTGCAACCCCCAACAAAACAGCAACCAACAACACGGTTGAGCACAAAAACTTGATCAAAAATGACCAAACAGGGAAAACCAAAGGTTCAAGGTTGGCTTTACACAGAGATGATCCTGGCTTTGTAAAAACTCCCCAAGGAAGCATCATCATGGCCCCTTGATGTTCCAATCACCCCAAAGGACGCAACTACAGGCTTCAACTGTACGCCGTGAAAATGTGATTTTCCCAATTTAGATGATCAACCGCCCGAAAGACATGGTGGTTTTGTCACCTCCCCCTATGGTTCAACCCTCATTCAAAGAATGGTTGACCCAATTTAGATGATGAGAAATTCCTGAACGGTAAATAATGGTGGTCCTATAATTCCTTAGGCAAAAATGGGGTGAATAATGGTGATTGAATTTTGACCCCCTTTGATTAACTTGTGGTAACTGAACCCCTGGCATAGTTGAAACATGGAGTTGGCTCGGTCGGACCTCGCGAACTCCGTGCGCCTGGGTGTCGAAGTAGCGGCAGAGCTGCATGGCACGCAGCGTCTGGTAGGTGGCGCCCTCCTGGCGTCAACGGCTTGGACGCGGCGAATCTGTGGAACCAGCCCCGTAGGCCCGTAGGCTTTTTGTTTTGAAGTACTAAAAGATCACTAAAAGGGGGAAGACCGGGTGAAATGGAATCCACGAACTTGTGATACAAAAGGGCTTCCCAAACACTACCCCTCCATAAGGGAGAGATTCCCTTGATCCCACAGCCCTGTGGATGGTTGCGAAATCCAGAGATCGCAGTGCAGAAGCCCTGGATTGAGAATTATCCTTGTAAATACCAACAAACAATGGCTTCCCATGGTGGCTTAGGTGGTGCAGGATTTCATCCATCCCCCATCCGCAGTATGAACAAAGAAGTTTTTGCCAACAAAATGCGAGGAGAGTATGACAAAAGCATCAAGGGACTTACTCCAGGAAATGCAAAAGGCATCACGGCCATGTTCTCGTGCGTCCCAGCAAAAGCCAGATTGCACGGGTGCTCCAGTTTGACACCAAAGACTTGAACATCACTTGGAAAAAAAACAAAGGGGAAACCAAAGGCCAATGTCCCACTCGATGGTTTCGACTGTAGTGAGCCACAATCATATTGCAAGTTGGAATTGAAACGATGACGATCTTACAAGCCAACAGAATCTGCAACTGGTTGGCTTAGAGGATTTAGAGATTCCGCTATGATTCTGAACAAGGAATATGCATTGACGTCATCTGATTTGTAGACAATTCACCTCGTCTTCACCCTGCTGACCTGCTGGTGACACCAGGTTTGGAACCCGACCCGCACGTGTCAAGAAGTGCTTCTCAATACCATGCGCTAGGTCACATTCTCTCAAGCTTCATAGTTCTGCATCAGAGCTACTCAAGCATTCACGCCATGCAAACCACCCTTGGCAAGGGAACTGCCGCAGCTACCCTTTTCTCCGTGTTGCAGAAAACAATGCTGGATCAGCCCACCCGAGGTGAGTCCACGATCCATCGATCGCGCCCTCGTTTGATCAGCGCCCTGGTTCAGTTCTCGTGTCAGTTCTCCACGACTGGTGACCAGATCTTCCACCGCGATCAGCCCCCGATCTTCCGTCTCGACCCGTCCATCCGTCCCTCTCCTTAGTTGCTGTTGACCCCCCTGCAAAAAGTTTAACTTTTTGGGGTTTGGTGGAAAACCCCTCGATTTCCCAAACAGTTCAAGTCTAAAGATCCAACCAATAGCAGTCAAGTCTCCAGATGTTCACGAACCGCTTGCGTCAACTCTTCGCAGTCCTTCAACACCCAAACATGGGGAGCAGTGCCCATGACCTTCGACACAAGATCTCCAGTCCCAAAGAAGTCCTTGGGCGTCACAGCGCAATTCTCACCTCACTTGGCGCCTTAAAACAAAGGTTAGGCTTTTGGATCCTTCACTATAGACCAAAAGGAGAAAACAGAAGGTCAAAAGGTCGACTCGCATTGGACAAGTGGGCTGTAAGTGCCTCCGATTCCTTCCATTTCTGGAGACACCGCCACCCAAACCGAGGTGGCTGCACCCTGTTCCACGGTCTTGAACACGGGCGACACGTTGCCATCCTTGTCCAGCCAGCCCATCGCGGCCATCTCCTCCTGGGACAAAGACGACTGAAGCCCCGTGCGGATGCCCCCGGGATGAACCGTGTTGACACGGATCTTGGAGCCTTTCGCAGTCAGTTCCTCATTCAGCTGGTTGCAATACCTCACCAGGTTGCACCCATAAAACCATGGAAGCATGGGAACAATCCACACAGTTGAAAGGATGAGTGTGTGTGTGTGTGCGTCTTTCTTTAAGGGTACCCTTTTTGGTAGTCAAGGCAAACCAGAAGGACAACCGACAATTCTCCCCCCCCCAAAGAAACACACACACACACACAAATAGAAGCTTTGCAAGTTGCAACCCACGCTACATGATGATGGCGCTCTTGGAAACGGCATAGGCGACCCACTTGTCATAGTCTTTTTCGCGCATCCTTTGCCCCGTGTACTTCTCAAAGACCTTCATGAAGGAAGGTTCCATGGCTGCTCCTCGACGGTGCGCAACAGATGACACCACGCACACGCGAGCCGTCTCGCTGAGCTTGGGTAGCAAGGACTCGGTGAGCAACACAACAGAATGGAAGTTCACCTGCATCTGCTGCTCCACATCGTCTGCTGTGAAGGTGAATGGAATTGCCATAACCCCAGCATTGTGCAACAAGACATCGATTTTCTGGTCACCCCATTCTGCCACAAAGTCCATCACCGACTTGAAGCTGCACATATCCAAGGCTTTCACCGTGACCTCTGACCCCCAGAAAGGACATCTTTTGTTGATGCCAGTAGTTGTTTTTGGTTGTTCAAAGAGCATTTTCCACCCCCTCCACTAAAAAGTCACAAAGGAACCACCACCCACAAGTAGGGGTTGCAAACCGATCCTTCCCAAAAAAAGGTTGCAAAGGTTGCAACAAATAAAACCATCAACAATCCCTCACTTTTTGGTCCCGTGTTGCCTCCGGGTTGCCGGACTCCGCTCGGATTTGCTCCACGGCGGCGGCGCCTTTGGACACGTCCCGGGCCGTGATGGTCAGCTGACAGCCGGTGCGCGCCAGCGCCACGGCGGTGGGGATGCCGATGCCACTGGTGGCCCCGGTGACGATGATGGTCTTGCCCTTCAGATCCTGAGCCAAAAAAAAACAACTTGAAGCGGGGTGATCAGTAGGCTGGGTCCTCCAGTAGAGAGGCTAGAATAAGGGTACCAACTTTGACTTGAAGCGGGGCGTACCAAAATCCTGATCAAAGAAAAATGAGAAAATGGAATGACCTGAGCAAATCCTGAGCAAATGAGAAATGGAATGGCCCGAATTCCTGAGCAAAGAGAGAAACTGCTGCGATCGCTGCGAGTAGGGAAGGAGAAATGGAATGTACCCAAAAATCAGCAATGCCACTGGTGGATTCCGAAAAGGTTCATTCCCACATTCCTGAGCCCAAACACTTGAAGTTGGGGGGTGATCAAAAGGTGCGGGTAAACATGAAAACCACCGAACAGTCTTAAAAAACAAAAAAACACCTTACTTATCGCACCAACAAGAAAAGTGAGGTGGATCAAAAGGTCCAAACTACATGGGATGACCATTGGCACCATTGGAGAACCACCAAAAAGATGAGAGATGCTTGACATGAAAAAAGTTACCCATGGTCATTTGGGGCCTAGGAATATCGATCCACCCCAAAGTCACGAGCTGCTTGCCAATGAAACGGAAAACAAGGGAAGAACATAAAACAATGACAAAAAGCTTGCTCCAAGTCTGGCAGAATCCAGGCCCTTCACCACGTCGTCCGCGGTCCAACGATACCGAGGAATGGCCTTCAACAGCATTGCTTCCAACTCCTCCGGAGACGGCGCTTCCATGGTTTTGATAGGTCGGTCACAGAAGCGAGGGGAGCACGAGGTGTCACCTCCCGCCTGCCAACGAAAAGACAAATCAAATAAACGCGCGAAACCTCGAGCCCAAAGGACTGCAGTCGGGCGATGCGGCGATGCGAATGGTGCCGAGGAGACGACACGAAGACATCGATGACAGTGAGCTGCTTCAATCCATGCGCCCGTTCGGAGATCACACAGGAACGCGACCCTGGTCAAACAGCAGGTATTGGGCTGCATCTTCTAAGGGGCTCCATGTGTCCTCTTTCTTCCTTTTTGTTGGGGGGGAGGAATCCATTTCTTTAGTGGCTTTTAAAGCAAGCTAAAAGGACACCGGCAATAATGTGGATGGACGAAATCCTGCACCATCATTATTGCAGGGTTCCTTGGGTGGTGCAGGATTCTGTCCAGCCACAGTTGCAGGTCCCCTAAAACAAGACAGCCCCAAATGAGTCATAATCAAGACCCTGTACTAAAATGGTTTATAGACCCAGAACCATGTAAAGAATCAAGAAGGCGGCTATCCGCACCTATTTCTGGCTGGGACTGCCCCCTAACCTTGATCTACCCGGTTTTGAGCCGGTGGCTCACCTGTTTCCCTCCTGATTTGGTCCATGTTTCATGACCCCAAAGGCTTGTCTGCTATTTCCGGCCGGGTCCCCTAAAACAAGGCAGCCCCAAATGCCCCAAATGGGCCAAGCCCCGGCCAAGCCCCGCACCTCGAAGCCCACGGAGCGGTCGAGCACGGAGAAGCCGGAGGTCAGGGACCGCAGGCCGATGGCCGTGTTCGCCGGCGACAGGGGCGGGCCGTGGGGAAGCCTCCGACTTCGTGGTGCTTGAACTGTTTTTTGGTGGTTGTTTGAGGTTGTTTTTATGGTTGTTATTTGTGGTTTTGCTTGTTTTTTTTTGTTTTTTTTTGTGTGTTTTGTATTTTGGTGTTTTTTTGGTGCTTTATGTGTTTGTTGGTTGTTTTTTTCTCGTGGCTCTGTGTGGCTTTTTGTGGCTTGTTGTGGTTTTTGTGTTTTTTTGTCGAAACCTTGAGATTTGGCTGAGTTGTTTCTAGGGTGTCATCAGGCCTTATCCTTGGAGTACCCCCAAGGTAGACTGAAATGGCCGTGGGTCAAGAAGTGGTCCACTAAAATGGCACCTTGGTACATGGAACCAAAGACTATCACCTGCGTAAACCAGCTCTTGAATTTTGAGCCACACCCAAGTAGCCGTTTTGGGGGTGGGTTCCAAGGGGAAAAGAAAATCCTCCAAGCCACTTTGGGGTCCCCGATATTTTCAAAGGAGCCACCTACCCAAAGGGCGTTTTTTTTTTTTCAACACCCACCGGGGCTGCCTTTCGTTCTTCGGGTAATCCCTTGCGCTTCCTATAGGGAGCAACTTGGTGATTCGATAGGGAATGAGTTGGGAAAAACCATCCAACCTAATGTTAACCCCGGATTAATAAACCCCTGGTTGATTAATAGGGGGTGTCCCCTTTTAGTGGGAATTCATCACTTTTGGAGGGAACACCCCCCCCCAATAATCAAACAAATAATGGTTTTTCAGGGAAACCCAACCTAGGGTTTCCCAGACAAAACCCTTCCGATTCATGCCCAACACCGAACGGTCATTAGTATGGGTGAATAGCCGTTATAGTTTAATTGTGGGAAAGCCCCCAAAGGGTCCAAAATGGCCCTGGGTTCATTTGTGGACCTATACAATCAGCCTTTGACTCAAACAACTACAAGGAACTAGGGACAAACATAATACTTGAACATTCTCCCATGAGGCAATTCGGTTCAACGCTACCCCAGCCCTTATATTGTAAATCAAAGTTGAGTCATGCTCATAAGGTCTTTGGACAATAGAGTAGGTTTTAGGCCCTTGTACTATTATTCAGGCCTCCTCCTAAGCTCAAGGCCATCTAAAGCATCTCCTTATTGCAAGATCATTGTTCAGTAGCCCAGCTGGATGTTGATGTCAATCTCGCATTGCACAAGCAGCCTCAAATAATGCCTTAAAGCTCGCTGACTCATCCGTCTCCCAAAACGTATCTATGGGGGGGGGAAGGGCTTTTTGCATTGGGAGTTGTGTCCACCAACCATAACTGCCATATTCATATTAGCAAAGGGTTGCAAATGGCGTCTGTTGCTGATACAAAACACTTGCGCCCGCCCCACTTGAACAGGGCCCAGCAGAGATCATCGTTTTGGTGCGTATTGCATCCAAATCATCCCACGTGGCTTGATCGCAAACCCAACATAGTTTAACCACAACCGCCACCCAGGGTTCACCTTTTGGCCCCCCTTTGTTTCAAGTTGAAACAACCTCACTTCCCCAAAGAAGGATTCTACACAAAACAGCGGCCCCATCCTCTCTCTCCTTAAACAAGACACATGTTGGGCTCAACGGGGGGGGGGGGGGAAAAACAAAAAAAACACCTCCCTTGCCTTGGCCCACTCCCACTCCCATCCGCGCGCACGTGCGCGCGCGCGCGGTCGGGGCGCTTGCAGTGCAAGATCCTGCGCAGCGTCTCGCCCTCCGCAAGGCTCAAGGCCACGAAGTAGCGGCCCCGGTCCTGGCTGACGTCGGGTCACTCGGAGAGCGGTTGCGTGTGTGGCGTGCGGCGGGGGAAAGGCGGGGGAATCAGGGGCGGTTCTTGTTGGATCAAGTCCTGCAGGGAGGCGTGTCCAAAAATGGCAGAAGGCCAACTCTCCCTCTCTCACGTTTGGTTTGGCAAACGTCGCTAATTTGCTGCCACCACATGGTCTTCTCGGAAAAACATGTGAAGTCCAGGTTGCTGGATGAGCGAGTTGTAAGAAACCGATAGCTCGTTCCTTCAGGTACCCCTCTCGACCCGTGGCCACTGACGAATTCACTTGAACAACCCAAAGGGATGCCCCAGTTTTTAGGACCCCAACCCTATTGGCTGGCATTGGGGTGGAAACCCACCTTTGCTGCTGTCAGCCAAGCCCTTACATGGGGACCAAAATAAAACCCAGGTTGAGGTTGGACACCTAGGTTTGTGGCTGTCCAAGGGAAACAAAGCAAAGCCTGTACAGGTGCCCAATATGTTATCCGGGTTGGGGGCTGGAAAAAACAAGAGGTTCCCCCAGTCCAGTCTTCGGGAAACCGCCCTCTCCTGAGGCCGGAAGTGGGAGTGCAGCAGGAGCTTCACCATATCCTGCGCCGCAATCAATCGGAAAGAAGCTCGACAAGTCGCTATGTGCCGTCGTTAATATGTGTTGTGTATTCACCTAGGAAGGAACAGGATAAGAGCATCACAAGCAAAGCATCCTTCGAACAATATGAACATGGCGGCAACCTCTGGGTATCTGTGACAGGCGCGAGGTTTGATCGGCCCAGCCACCAGTTTGCGCATCCTTCAGCTGCAGTCCTTGAAGAAGCCGCATTTAGGGGTTCGATTTTCACTAGGGCCCCGAAAGATCCAAAACCCGACTCCGGTTCCCCCGAAAAGCGGGTCAGGGAGGAAAAAGCTCCCATAGCAAACAAAATATTACGGCGGCATCTCGTTTTTCCACAGGCCTGTATGACATGTGGTCAAATGATGTCAAATGCTTCAATCGAAAGGCGGCCCTCCTGCAATCTGCATCTAGGCTTGCCTCTGGAAAGCGCCCTTTGGCCCCTTGTCTTCGATTCAACGTCGAGAACGAATCAGATCAAAGGAGGGGTGCGCCACACAGGCGATATCAGCAAACCAACCAGCGAAGCAGGCAGCCCGACAGCCGATAGCAGCCAATCGCATCTCTTGCACGACTTGAACACCCACAAGATATCATCCCACCAAAGTCCAGGCAAAACCATGCAACATCAAAACACACATATCATAAAGTCGGGCTTTCTTGCAACAAAAACACAACTTATGTAAACGATTCGGAGAAAACAAACGCCTACCCATGTCGATCTTCCAGGTGCATCTCGCCTCCAGGCCAATGCCATTCGGCGACCCACCCTGGCGAAACGGAGACCTTCCAGTCCCTTTCGATCGGGAGGCGAATTGGGTCAGATCCCACAGGGCTGTTGCAATGCACCCCACTTCTATGCATCAAATTGGATGTGGGAAGGGTAAACAAGCATGATGTCATGTCTGAATTCTGTCTTCTGGTCCCCAGGCCCTAAATTCCCTTTGCAGGCAGTGTTTTGACAAACCTGTTTTGTACAAACAAATCCTTAGCAGCATGCCCCCGCGTCGCAGATTAACACGGACATGAAATTAACAACCAGAGCTATGAACTCAAGCTTATTCAATAATCAACGCGCCCCCGGCACTGGTAACACTTATAGGCGTTTCGTCTGGGCCTGACAAACAGTGTAGCAAGTCCACACCCAGAATTGTATGAATTTACATACACCCTTATCCAAGCTCCTTAGCGGATGTCCCAAAAAGCGGTTCGCGGGATCGGCCTCCCTTGCTTTGAGGCCGGCAAAGTTATCCAAAACCGGGATACATGACGAAAGGGCTTTTTGTTGTCTGGGGGGTTGCTTGCCCTCACTTGAGAGGGGTGGTAACCATGTTCCTTTCAGGTCATCACCAAACCGTGGTGTCAAAATAATATACCAATAATGTAAGGAATCACAAGAGCCTCAACGCTTTGCTGAATCAGCATCCAAGCCAGATCATGCTTCTGGGGTCCTGGACATCAGTTCCATCCCCCGCCAAGGACAAAGGCCCCAAGGGTACTACACAAACAACTTTGATCATCTTTCACGCTTGTTGGCATTTCTTTGGGTTGTTAGGTGTTTTGGCTCTGTGCTCGTGTTTAGTAGGGGCCCGCAAAACAAAGAGTTTGTTGCTGCCATGCCAAAGCTTGTGGAGGCGTGGGCCTGTCAGGGGTTATGGTCCAAAAACACAAATCTGATGTTTCCACCGAAGAACCCCTAGCAGGGAGGCTCCAACAGCCCTCAACCTGCTGGAGACACAACCAAACCTGGCGATACCCTCCCACCCTTCGCGGGGACGATTTTCTCTTTGGTACTGCAAAGAAGGGTAGTACCCTCGAATCCCTCGAAACACGTACCTGCCAATTCTACTCTATTTCCAAAGCCTGAAAAATAGAAATATCGAATTAAAACCTCACTTCCTGAGTGGATGGGCCAAAAAGAGTCCGAACTTCTCCACCAAAATAGTCCTCCCAAGAAGCTTAAAGTCCTATCGGAACGCAGGAGACAACGACCAAAACCCGCAAGTGCGCTGGTCATGGCGCCGCATCGGCATGACTCCGCTCAAGATCGGCTCGAATCGGGGGCTCCCGGCCACCAGCGACAAGGCGGTCTTGGCGTCGTGCAGCGCCGGGTCCCCCTGGTCGAACAAGAGCCGCAGCAGCGTGCCCACCCGCTCCGGGCTTAGCCGGCCTGTGCTCAAGTGAGCGCGTAATGAAATGAGGCAGCTTGGATTGAGCTTGGATGTATGATTACATGTGTAAAACATGGCGTGTGAAGTGCCATTCCAAAATCCTTATTCCGTAGGAGGCGGTCTTCGCGAACAAGAAACAACAACTCGCCCACGAGGCTTGCGCAGGTCCCATGGCTGAGCTGTGTGGCAAAGCCTCTCCCTGCAATGCAAATAAATACGATGTGACAGGAGCGCAGGCCTTCATTGGTTGAATCTCCAGCTCTCAAATCGCAGCTTGTCAGTACGAGCATAGTGTACGAAGACAACTTTGGCAAGTGCAGCTTTGCAAGACGCGGCAACTGTGTGAAAGCTGGCGGAGCTTCGCGGGGATTTCAGGAATCTTGCGCCACACGTTGCTGGAAATGAGGAGTACATGTTTGGTTCAGTTGTGACTCAAACCATCAAGACTACATACTGCATACTCTGCCGTCTGCCAAGCTGTGTGCCCTGTGCGGGTCCTTGTCATAGGACATGTCATTCAAACATCGCGTATAACATATAACGTCCAAGCGATTCGTCGATAAGATGGCAAGCATGCTCATGTACGTTTCATGTGGATCCGCTTGAGCAAGCCAAAAAGAAGCAACCCGTGGCACTTGTCCAAAGAACCTGGAACAAAGGCTTATCGTTTTCGGAGCCACTAACCAACGACCAGACAAAGGACATCTTAAGGTCAAACGGCTTAAACACTACATCAGAACCTGGAGCAAAGCACGGTGCGGGAGGCGATGACTATCCGGCAAAGGGGATTGAATCCCACCAGCAGCCTACAAAAAAAAGACCCAACTCTACGTTGCATGCGCAAATATAAGCAACTGGCCTGCGCAAATCACATGCTTGAAGATGTTTAATTCATTGGTCACTAGTCTAACGGCCTCATGTTTGGCTTCGCTTTGAAGGGGACACCAATTTTGCCCGAAGCCTGCAACATGAGCGCAACACTGATGACCTCCGCGTTGTGCTTGCTGCAGCGGTTGCCAGAACACTTTCTGAGGGGGCGCCCCCGAAAAGAACCGCAAAGGCTATATTCCAAAAAGAGACGTGCAGTAGAAAGGTCCCACAAAAAGCAAATACAACAACCTCAACAACTCCAACACCAACAGTCTACCGACGACCTCAGCGCCCTTCCTGTTGCAAAAACAAATCGACCGCATGATCGCATTGCTAATGCGTCAAGCAGCAAACTAAAACCCTTGGTTCTATCCATTGCCATTGATCCTTGTGTTACACCCTGGCAGTAGACCCTTGGGAAGAGACCAAAAAAAGGGCAAAGCAACAAGGTGTTAGTTGGAAATGACACAATATGAGCAACTTCCCTGAGGTCAAGGGTTGATTTGCTTTGGAGACAATAGTGGTTCAGGAAACACCGGCCAGGATGTTCGTGGGTGAGATGATAACAAACCAACCCAAAAGGACCCTTACTATACGGCACGAAATCATCACGGGATTGATGTTGTGGGGCATACCATGACAAGAAAACAAATCCTTTCAGGATCATGTGAGAACATTTTAACGTTAGAGTGGGTGCGAGTGTAGTCCAGCCGCCCCAAAAACCACGAGCCATCGCCCAACCGCGCCTCCGACACCGCCGGCGGCATTGCCCTCCGCGGTGAAGAGGTCCAAGGCGCGTCGGCAGCACTTCCGCATCAGCCCGTCCTCCGTCTCCTTGGAGGCGTTGAGCAGCCGCCCCCCTCCCCCCCTCCGTTTGGGGAACGGAGAAAAAAAAACAGAGGCAAAGCGAGGAGCACCGGATGCAAGTGCAAAGTTGGCTGCAGCCGGAGGCTCGACTTGGCTTTGCTACTGCCCGCAGTTTCCCAGTTTCCCAGTTTTTCCCACAAAGACAAAGGGATTTGAACGATGGAATCCACTGGCACAATGCAGATGAAGGGAACCTACCGGCACCGAGGAACACGTCGACGCGAAGAGGTGCCAACCCACGACAAATGTTGCACCAGTTGGGATACATTGGACCCCGCCCCCCCCAAAAAAATAAAAAAATATAAAATGGGATAAAACAAGCCACATACCAGCTGGAATTACCGTGATAAAATCAACCACCTACCAGCTGTAGGGATGCATACCGGCATTATTTGTAAACACCACCTTCCTGGAGGACGTTTTTTGTCAGCTCATGGCAACCACAAAAAACAACGGCGCGTCGACCGGTCGCGGCATCGTCTCTGTGCCGTCTGCGCCGAGCTGCGCTCAGCACCAGCACGTCCTTGAGCCGCTCCGCCGGGCAGCCGCCTGGGAGCCACTCCATGACCTCGGGTGGACTGAAGCGGTTTGAAGCGGTTTGAGACTCTCAAAGGGACAAATGCCCCTCAGGAGAAAAACAAAAAGAGAGAAAATAACCTAAGTGAGAAATCTTAAACCAAACTCTTGGGCCCCTATGCTTCCTATATTTCTATGTACCAGAATTTCAGCCAAAATTTCAGCCAACATTTCTGGACCTCAATGAGACTCTCCAAGGGACAAATACCCCTCACAAAAAAGCATGAAGAACCTAAGTGAGAAAGCTGAGACATGCAAGAAAGCTGAGAAAGCTGAGATTCGGGTGGCTCGTTCCAATTCTTTGGAGTCGGTACCCCTTTTCTGTGTTGTATTGAAACGGGAAACCAACACAAACACCAAAATTTTGTGATATTTTGTGGGTCCCCCTACAAAAAGACACGCCCATGTCGCATCCCAAACTGTGTGATTCTCACAGGTCCTATATTCCAGCCACCACCACCCCCCCCCCCACAACACCCCGCACAACCTTCCTCAGGCAGAGGGGCCACGCAGGTGTTCTTGAGGCGCCGGAATCCGGACCACTTGGGGTTGTAATAGTTCTCCGAGAGCAGCAGGTCTTGGGGCAAGGTGTCCAGACTGCGGCCCTTGAAGAGCCGGAACTGGCTGGCCTGGCAGGGCTCAGGAACTGACCGAAAGCAAGCAGGAGTCGACCTCCCGCCCCAAATTTGGATGGTCTTGGAAGGGGAAGCCCAAAATCATCCGTCCCAGGCCCGACTTTCAGGGGTCCAGGTGCAACTGGCAGTGTTGGACGCGCCAACCTACACAAAAAACGCCCTTGACCCATACGTGATACAACCTGCCGCCCTCGCGATGGACACCTCGCCTGGTAGAACTGCGGCGGCCGCTCCTGAATGGAAACGCGGAACCTCCCGACAAATGCGCTGCCCATCGAACACTGAGAGCGCCTCGCAACAACTTTGCATGTGATTTGCTGGGGGCTACATGAGAGACTGTGAGAGTGTCATCTAGTTTGATCTACTTGGTTGACGTTGGAAGGGGAGCAAACAAATATTTGCTTGCAGTCAAGTGGGGATTTTCCACTAAACCACAATAAGCAAAAATGCAAAATGTTTAACAACAACCATGTCTAGGCAAATGAAGTTGTGACTCGGAACTTCAATGCAGTCCATGCACATCAACCATTTCAATGACAGCCAAAGTGCAGAAACGATAAGGGCAACCAAAAATCCACCCCAAGTGCAGGGTCCCCTCAACAAAATCCAGACCCAAATCTGCCGGTGATGAGTCACTCATAGGAAGCTCCAAGCGGACTTTTGAGTTGGGGGTTGAACAATTTTCAAGGGTTTGACGGAAAACCAGAAGGAAACCAACCGGTTTCTTCTGGGGCCCTATGCTAAGACGCACAAATGATGGGTCACTTCTCCCATGTGGGAAATCTCATCCTTCTGTGTGGGTTTCCAACCTCAATGGTCATCCTAAAGGACCTTTCGATCAACCCCCCTCTTTTTGTACGCCTCCAAGCTCGCCCCTTCCGCCTTCCGCCTTCCGCCCAAAAACCGACCCCTTCGCTTCCCGTCCTGCTTGAGGCTTTCGAAGGGCCAGCTGTTGGGCTCCTCGCTGTCGCGGCAGTACATGAGATCCACGAACTTCTCGATCTCGATCCTATCGGCATGGGCCGCGGCCCATGACGCGGGTCCCGCGCGGGTCGCGCGGCCCCGCGACCGGCCGGCCGGCACATGACCCCCGCCGGTTGGTGTAAGGCGTGGAGCTGCTGGGAGGATGGGGCGACGGCGACCCCCGCGCCAGCCAATTTCACTTGGTTTCAACGTGGAGCCACTGTTTGAAGACAGCCATGGCTTGCCTTTCATAGCAACTCTGACCTTGGACTCGGTGCACGGAACCGCTCTCTCAATACGCCTAAAGTCTGCCGCTTAAACGTGCGGGCATTTACCAGTCATGGCTGGAGAAGCACTGGACGAATAAGAAGCCATCGTTCTACTCGGCCCGAAAACTGAAAACAAAAGGCTCACTTTGGCGGGCCGTGACAAAATGTCTTAACCGACACCGAAAAAAAGCGAACAGGTGATCATTCTCGAATCGAAGGGCTTGGTAGCGAGTCTTCATTGGAAGCAACTGGTTTTCTGGCCCAGCTGCTGCTGCTCGCGCTCTTCTTCTTCCTCCTCTTCCATCTCTCGCTCAGCCTGAGGCACTAGCAGAGTTGCAGTGGGCCCCGGAAATTCGAGCTCTACTCTCCAAACAAGAGGGTTCACAAAACTCCCTTGAAGCTTTCATTTGCAAGAAGTCTCCATCAAGACAAAACAACTAACACTGCCAGCTCGACAGAACGACTTGCTTGATGCCTCCTGCCAGGGAGTCTTCTACCATCAGCTGACGCGATGTGTGGAGGTCCTGAACTTTCCCTACTGGCGCGATTCTTGGCACCCAGGTTCCAGATTTGCAGCTTGGGGATGCAAGCATTCGACAGGTCAGTTCGAGTCTAACAGAACGACCTGTCGCTGACGCTTGCCTGTCCCAACTTCAAGATCAAAGGTGTATTTGGGTATGAATTAGAATTGGGGACCCTTGGGTGGACATCATGAATGTAGAGAAAAATCCAAGACATTTGGCAGGCGGTTTCTCATTTGAATTCATAGTCATCTGGTATAACTAAACATGGACCAAAACTGAGAAACCCAGTTTACCACAAGGTTGGCTGTGCAAAAGGATTGCAGCCATATAAAAAATAAGTATCCCCAGCAAATCGAATGGTTGGTTCGTCCAGCCGAAACAGGCCAAACAAAAAAACAAGCCAAGAGCCGGCTAGTCCTCAACGTTTTCAGCTGACATTCCCAGCGTCAATGCCTCCGTGTCCCTTGGTAAATGGGGCATAAAACCCATCTGAACCACTGGAGCCCCGAAGACTAACCGATGAAAACTTGTTGGAATCGGAACCCCCCCCAAAAAACAAAACAAAACAAGAAGTGGTCTTTCCTTTGGGTTTCCTTTTAAAGCCACCAAACAAGGGCTACCAACTCCAAGAACACACACACCCACATCATCCCCAACGGGTGTTGGGGGGGGGGGGGGGGTTGTCGTCCAGCGCGCCTCCGCCTCGCGCTCGGCCTCCGCCTCCAGGGTCTGCTCGCCCACTTCCATGCCCTGGACCTCCAGCACATTCTTGATGACCTGGCTGTGGGTCAAAATGCGTACCCAAAATGGCTTGCCCTGGCAAATGGAAACGTGGACCAAAACCTGTGGTCCCCCTGGTGGTTTAATTTTGACCCATACCCACCTCTCGTCCGGATCAAGATGGACATGGGTTCTCGATTCTGCATGTTGATTGGGTTTAAGCGTTTTGCAAAACGGGCGTTGAGGTCAAAGAGGTGAGTTCTTGCCATGCCTTTAGGCGTTTCTCAAAGTAGGACCCCTGCTGGGTGTAAAGAGAAGTTGTCTTTTGAGAAACCAAAAGGGAAACCCGCATGACCTCCGGCCATTCGACTCCGAATCAAGGGGACCGATGGACAAACCTTGGGTGGCCTCTTCTTTTGTCCGAGGGATGGACATTGGGTGAATTCTTAATCCATGGGGTGCACAGACTTGGTCTAACCTAAAGCATAACATCATGACCTCGGAATGGGTTGTTGTTGGCCTCAACGCTGTCCGCTTTCCAATATCCACCCTGATTTTGGAAAAAGAGGGCAACCTTTCTGGGGAGCTACTAATTCACCTCCAAAGACAGGGATATCAACCCCCCAAAACGGCAAACACCTGCCCAAATGCGGTGGGGATCCAAATTGTGTTCCCTTGAAGGACTTGAGTTCAGCCGCTCAAGTTGTGAGCCATCTATCTTCAGTCGCCACTTGCCCTGCGAAAACCCATGTGCAATCAGCATCTTAGCATGAAGCCATCGAGAAAAAGTTGCGCGCGGCTTGTGGCCTGGCCGCGTGGTGGGGTGGTGGGGTGGTGGGGTGGTGGGGTGGTGGGGTGGTGGGGTGGTGTCTCCGCCTTGCAGGTGCCAACCCTGGAACCCAACTGGGCCGCCGGGCCCACTCCACGGCGGAGCGGTCCTCTGCCGTGAGGATGTACTTGGTGTACTCCTCCGCCCGGCCCTGGACGATCTGCAGCAGGCCTCGGTCCATGCGCCGGCGAAAAAAACCACAAGGGGAACGGGGATTCTTCCCCCCCAGAAAAGGAAAGACCCAAAAGGAACAAGGGAATTCTCCCCAGGAGGAGGAAACCTCAGTCCTTCAGCTATCCGAACAGAAGACTGAGCAGACGGAGTCTCCTGCGATATTAAACACAGCCAAGACATGTTGGTGTCAGCCAGGTGTTCCACAGAGGGGCCGGAACCAGAATCCAACAAGAAAAAAACGCCCGGTACCATAAGGTAAGCTGGTTGCATCTATTCTCAACCAAACTGACACCAGCTTGGCTGCGAACTACAAATCAAGCCAAACTCAGAAAGGACACCAATGCTCCATGACGAATGTGTTTTTGTTCCTTTTGATTCTCCTTCCTCCTTTTCTCACTCCAAGGACAACCCCTCTCGAGGCCCAGCCCGGCGCCCCAGCCTCGGGGCACCGGCACCTTGTCCAGCACCTTGAAGTCGATCGGCTCTTTGAAGACCTGCCGCGTCGGATTTTGCCCCCGAGGAAACCCTCGGGCAACCCAGTGCGACCCGACGGACCAACGGTGATGCTTTGGACTGACCGTGGGAGACGGGGAAGTGACACTCCCAACAATTGGAAGTGTTGTTTCTTTTTTCCCGGGGCTTCGCGATTCCATGGTTGTTGGAGCGAAGCTACACTTGGGAAGCTCCAGCTACACTTGGGTGGTCACACATAAGTGAAAGTAGATGCGTCAATTTCCCCATGCTCGATTCTCTTGCCGACAAAAAATCACTTCCTGAGTGGATTGGCCAGAACAAGTCTGAACGTTCTATTTACCACCAAACATGGCCTTCTCAAAAAGAAACAATGGTCTTCCCAAAAAGCTTAAAGTCCATGAACTCAGGGAGGGAGAAAAGGGAATCGCAACATCTACTTTCAACCGACTGGCCTTGGTCACCCCTTGGGACCTGACACGCCGGGATTTACACTCTTCAATAGCGGAGGTTTCTGTCAGTTTCCCTCAAGCTCCCCCCCCCCAAAAGAAAAGACTCCGGGTTTTGCTTCCCAAAGGAAGGTTCCCGTTTTTTGTGTTTTTTTTTCCTGCTCCAACATGGCCCCCCAGCGCTGTGCCAAGTTTGTGGTTCCAAAGTTTGGTCGCTCACCTCCACGCAGTCCACGATCTCCGGCAGCTGCAAGAGGGCATACTTATCCATGAGCGTGTTCCAGGCGTTCTTGCGCCAAATGTTGCACAGGTTCCTCGGATCCAGGGAGCCCACACAGAAACAGATTCACACGGGCCGGTCTTTACGCGGGGAGAGGGGCCACCGGGCCCCTCAGGATGGGTGGCCGCTGGTTGCTTTCCTTTTTGAAAGTAAATCCCAGGCACTGTGGCATGTGCTGGTGAGTTCGCTGCGTGTCATGTTCCATGGTCGTGAAAACTCACCCCTTCCGTGATACCAAAGTGCGGTATGACCACCTCGTTTCCCACAAGTGTGTTGTCCTCCGGAACCCCATCTGGCTCCGCGCTTGTTTTGGAGCGGCGCAGGTGCAGTTGGATTTCTTGCGACCCTCCATGAAGAAGCAGCAACCTCTGGGCTTCGCTTCCTATATGGAAGCATCCCGGCGTCCACTTGCGCTACCAACGAGAGCTTCCGGTTCGCACCCAACGCAAGCCCGACGTCGGCACCTACCCAATTTTTTGGTGGGCGATGGTTGCAATCACCAAGGGTGACGAAATGGTGACGCCTAGGAAAAAAAACAAACAACACGGCCCCTAGAGTCAGAAATACAGGACCAATCTACGCTTGTGTGGGTTGACTGTAGTTGGAGCCAGCGACTTTCCAACAAAACGGAGCATCAAATAACATGGAGTATGCTGGAGACGTATGTCACAGCGCAAGTACTTCAAAACCTGCTCTCATCCAAACCTAATCAAGCCTCCAGAATCCCGTTCGGACCACTCCAATTGAGCGTACCCTTGAACTTGATTGGACGTTCTTCAAGCTTCCGCGGACCCTTCCGCCTTGCCGCGGGCCATTCCGCAGACTTCCGCGGCACATGCTTTCCATGTTTGCTTCCGCGAACCTTCCGCGGCACATGTTTTGCAAGGCTTGCTTCCGCGAGTATTGGCGCAGAAAGGAAAGTCAGTCTAACGGCCCATACTACAGTTAACAAGTGATGTTTCCCCAGAATCATAATGGAGTCCATTCGTAAACATGCCAAGGGAAAGTGGATCACAACCATTGACACCCACATGACCCTGTGTATCATCCAATGTTACCCTTCCCCTGCCATGGGGTGTCCGCCCGCTTCTTCGATCTGAAGGAAAAGCGGTGGCTCGCATCACGCGCTAGGGCCCTGGCTGAGTCTGCAGCACGTTGAACTGCAGGCGGTCTGAGAGCATGCCTCAGACCGGCCGCACACGCGGGAGTAGTCGACTGTATTCACAAGCTGCAGCACATTAAAAGCAACAAAAAACACAAATGTGCAGATGATGCTTCATATTTTGTCTCAATGTGCAGATGATGCTTCATATTTTGTCTAACCCCATCAGAAGCGCAAGTAAGGGTTCCCTATGAAAGGAACATTCATCATGATTGACGATGCAAAGCTCGGGCACGTCGGGTCGTTTTTGGCTGACCGAGATCACTCCCCGGAACTGATGCCCGGCAGAGTCATGTCGCAAATTGGAGGGCACGGCCAGTGCTACTGTAGTCGTGCGTTATACACCTGAACATTGCCTTGTAAATGGTGGTGTCCCTTTATTTTGGTGGAAAAAACCATGTTTTAAATGGGCAACATGTATCTTTTAAGGAGCCCTGATGAATCAGCGTTGTTCTAATCGGTGGTTTGGAGCCGGATGGTCTAGCTGTTAGGGGTGGTTTCCCATTTGCCCTCTGAAAAGAAGACGGGTCAAATCCCCAAACCACCAAACCACCAACTAAGGGTTACCTGAATTCATGTCTTGGCCCCAAAGGTCTTGTAGCCAAATGAATCCGCCCATAGGACCCCGCTCCAAGCCAAGGCGCTGTTAAGCACCAGCCACCCGCACACATCGCCCAGCATGCTCTTGTCCGTGCAGGGGTCCTTCATAGCTCAAAAATCGGGTGCCCACCTCCCCCCCCCCACAAAGCCAAACTTGCAGAAAAAACAACAACACACAATCCATCCCCCCCCCCCCCCCCCCGATTCTTTCAATTTTGAGCCACGACCGTGTCGGGGAAGGTCCCCCCAAAATCGATGGGGTGTCTTTTTAATGGTGTTCATTTAAATTAAGAAAATACACCTACACACACAAACAAACAAACAAACAAACAAACAAACAAACAAACAAACAAACAAACAAACAAAACACAACCAAACAACACCAAACAAAACGCAACAAAACAAAATAAATACAAAGCAACACAAACACACACACACACACACACACACACACACCCCACACACACACACTTGTGGACAATGGCCTGGTTCCTTGCTGCGACGGATTCTATTTTTCGACCTCGACCTCTTTTTACTGGAAGGGCCGGGGAATCCAATTCCACTGCGCGACCAGCCCGCAGGGAAAATGAAACCATAAATGAACTTTCAGGGGCACCCCTCTCCCCGAATTCCATTTTCGAGGGTTGCCAAAATGACCTCTTTGCAACCCACTCCTTTATGTTGGCCGCCTGCATGTTCTTGCTGATCAGCTCGCGCACCTGCCCGCCCGGCCCCTTTTTGACATCAGAAGAAACCAGCCGAGCCACGGTTCAAAATTTGCGCTTCCCAAGCCCCCATGGGCATGGGAAATTGTGTGAGTCGCCCTGGTTTCAATTGGGTGTCCCTCCAAAAATTGACCACGAAGTACAGAATATGTTGAGCAAACCTCACACTTTTCGCAATTAAACTGCCCAATCCATTCCTTTCGAACGTCAAGAACAGAAAGGGGTGTGTCTTTTTTTGGTGTTGGTGGTGTTCCTTTTGGTTTCTCCTTAAAAACCGCCCACAAATTGGTAGCCTCAACAAAAGGCACACCCAAAGGCACTAGAACTTGCGTCCCTTGAGCCCAACCGTCCTCTTGAGGGCCCGTCAGGGGTTTTTCTTTCGGCGTGGAATTGGGAGGGTGCAATGCAACTTCGTGACAAACATGCTCGTCCAAGCTCCACCCCAACCTTAAGAATCAATTATTGTCCACTATCGTCATTTGGCTGTGGGTCAAAACCAAAGGTACCATTTTGGGGCAGGTGCACCACCCATTTCAGTCTATTTTAGTGGGGATTGGGATGTTCACTGGGGGTACGGGGTTTTGACCCATGGCCATTTGAGTGTATCCAAGAAGGGAACATGGCAGGGCGGGAGATGTGTCGAAATGTGGTGACTGGGCCAGGCTTAGTCACGTGTTTTTTGTTTTTTTGAAAGGGACCAAGCAAAACCAAAAAGTCGATAAGCCAAAGGCAAGCTAAGTCTTGCAATGGTTCGATTGCTACAAATTAACATGGACCGGGTCCATTACCCAAAAGGAGTTTCCTCTTTCTTTCTTTCTTTTTGGGAGGGGTCCATGTTAATCAGTAGGGGAGAATATTTATCTTGGGATTCCAAGCATCACGCCTCGGGGATGATGAGGATTCGCAGCTTCTGGCCCTTTCCAATGCCGCGGAGGCGGTAGGCCCCCTGCGCGTAGTCTCTGAAGACCATGTCCTGACCAACCCAGCACCCTAACAATTAACTCTGCCCCCAGGGCAAATTGGAGGTGTATACCCTTTACATGGTGACCTATTTTCGGAGCTGTATCCCCCAGTAGACTCTTGGGGTGGTTGAGGAAACCATCTTCGAACTACCATATTGCCCAGTGGTACAAGGCAACCCAGCTTGGGCAAGTGCCCCCAAACATCCCAAAACAGGCAAAACCACCTGACCACACCCAACACCCATCCCAACCCCACCCCCCGCTGCCATGCCCAGAAACGACCCCTGCTAGCAGGACCTCATGTCAACCTGAGGTATGTTGGGGGTCTTTGGGCACCCATTGACCACCACTTCTGTGTGACAGAACACCAGGGAAAAAGCAGGAAAAACCTCCGAATGCTACACCCAACCACTACATCCAGGGTGAAAGACTGATTCCTCTGTCGGGAACGGGATGATAACACCATGGGGGAGCCTGGCATCGAGAGCGATCAGGTGCTAGGAAGCTAACGTGTCATAACTTCTGGGCCAATCCGGGACTTGCTCGGCAGGGAATGAGAAATGGAATGACCCCAATAAACAATCCCCTATGGTTTGCTTTAAGGGGATCCCTGGGTTCATTCCCAACACCCTGGGTCATTCCCTCCTGAGCACCAGCAAGGTAAGAACAACAAGCTCTTTTATAGCCTCACGACAGAGAAGTAAAACAAAAAAAAGAAGAAAATTGTGCATGTGGCAATTCCGACACGATGTGCAAGCAGTGGGTCGACACCCTTCCAACAAAAAGTACGAGCAAAAGAGTCAGCAATCCCCCCAAGCCATGCAAAGTCTGGCTACCTTTGTGTCCCTCTGCTATGTTCCAAAAGCTGAATTAAGGGATCCCCAAGTAGAGGACCTTCATCATGGTGAGCTTGTTGTACACCCAGGTGAGCTCGCTACAAGACGGGCGCATATACTACAAACAACATGGAAGGGGGCTGTGGCCTTCTGCGACTGGCGCCACAACCATCCTTCAGGTCTGGGTTGAATCAAAAGTATACATGATGCGTCAGCATTTTTTTCTTGCCCGGAGTCCTATTGGAAACAGCGGGGCACAAAACTGCCTGAATCCCTGAGCAAGAGGACTCACGACCCGAACCAAACTGACCGCGGCCTAAGGGTAACTGAAGAAACAAAATGAGGTCCCCATGCTTTGGTGTGTCAAAATTAGTTGATACGTGCAAGGTTTCCCCGTTATGTCCCTCACAAACAGACCTCACTTCCAATCGAGTGGATTGGACAAACAAGTTCCCAAACTTTTTGTTGGCCAGTAGAAGGGAAGACCTGGCATTTGGCAGGCTGCCCCGAAGAGTAAGTGAGTGAATGAGTGCGCATGGTCATCCTAAAAAGTGAGAAAAAAAACAGGAAAAAAAAAACATGAACTCAGGGAGTGAGACACCCATACGGGTGTGTCTGTTTCTAGGGGACCCAAAAAAATGGTTCCCTCCAACCAAAAAGGGTACCAACTCAAAAAGGAACCGCACCCACGGTCCTTGCCCAAGGTGATGGCGCCAACACAGTCGCGCTTGTGCTGGATGTCCATGCCTGTCGTGTGGACCTGGCTAGAAGCGGGTACTAAACAGGGACAAACCATGATTCGACTCTCCTGCAAATATCGACAAACAATGGTTTCCCATGTTTCGTTCGGTGGTGCAGGCAAACTAAACAAAATCATCCCCTTGATGGTTTGAAGGGAAAGTGAAACATGGGCTGTTTAGCACTCAGTCCACAGGTTTTGTTTGGACGTCCGGAATGGCCCAAAAGATGTCCAACTTGCTAGCAGAAGAAAGCGACCGCAAAGGTCGCGGTTCTGTTATGATTGTTCCTCTAGTGGTGGGACACTTCCTATCCGGCTTCTCATTGATATGTGGGAATGCGTGGCCATATTCCAGCGGGCGCACCCAAAAAATTGCAACCACGTAGTCGCCCTCTAAGATGTGTATTTCGACTCCTCATGGTAGTCTGCTGTGACTATGGCATGAAGTGATTGTTTGTGCAGTCTGACTCAGTTCGCAAGTTTTTTAACTTCAAAACTATTCTACGCTCCCACTCGCCATGGTTTCGGGACTTTTCGACAAATTTGTATCCCCAAACACCTCCCTGAGCACCTAGGCCAAAGTTTAACAACTGAATCCCTGGAGTCTGCATGACCAAATTGTCTACAAGGTCACAACATGTCACTGCGGGAATATGACTGCTAGGGTTCAAAGGAAGAGCGCAGAAGGGCATGACTACACACAGACGGAATGTTGAGATTTACATCCCATCTATTCTGCAGAGAAGCCTTCGTCATCCTTTGCTTGCCCCGAAAAACACTGCCAGCACACGCAAAAACAAACAGAAGCAAGGCACACACACACACACGCAAAAACAACAGTAAAGGCCATGTGAAGGATATGAACCAGCTTGTGAAGCGGTTGGCGAAAAATGGGTTTTCGCCTCATGTTGTGCCACCTTTTCAGGGGTCCAACACCCCATGTGTAGTGATGTAAGCTGGTTTCTGCTTGTAATAATTTCTTTGATGCACCTGCGAGACAAACGAGCCTGCTGGCATCTGACGCACCCCAACCAAGGTTTGCCGCTTCCACAAGAACCCTGGGACCTCCTCAAAAAGTGCAAAAAAAAGTCAAAGATACAAAAAAGCAACAAGAAGAACAAACACATCCTTCAAGTTTGAAACCCCTTCATTTCCCGACAAGACAAGAGTCAGGCCCACCCCACCCCCCACCCCCTGGCTTGGGCCATGCACCAAGCAGCGCGCGTCGCGCCCCTCGCGCCTGGTCGTAGAAGGCGAAACGGTGCACTGCGGGGATACCGCAGTCCGCAAGGTTCAGCACCTCCTGCAATGACTCGCGCGTCATTTGTTCGTGAGTCAGCACCCACCGGGACGGGCATCCAAAGGATTCCCACCGCAAGCATATGGGGTCTCCGTCTTTTTGGCGGTCCCCGGTTGTTTGGGGTAGCCTTAAAGGGCGGGAAACCGAAGCCAGTTTGAGGGTCCCGCTCGTTCCCACATTCGACTTGGAGCCCAGTGGTTTGGAGCTTGGGGGGTTCCCTTTAAGCCTCTGCAAGGGGTACCAATCCCCAAAAATCCAAACCAATGGGTTACCCGAACAGCGAAACATAAAAACCGACCTGGCCAGTGAAAACCAGCCGCTGGGCTGAGTCAAAGGGTGGCCATCAGGACGCCATGTTAGCAAAGCGTCACTTTCAACTAGACTCACTTGCCGAGGGATCTGCCCCCCCCGCCTTTTTTTTCCACCGCCCTGGCTCAGGTCAGAACAAAACTTACCCGAGATGGACAAAAAATCTCGTCAAGCGCCTGAGTTGCCGTGACTTAAATTGCCCCGAATCGGGGTCGCTAGACAAGTCGGTCAAGCTAATATAGTTTGTGGAACTGATGGGAAGAAGCAGTCAGTGAGCCAGACAGCAAGCCAGTCAGACAGTCAATCAAAATGGAACAATCCCTCGCAAATCAGCATCGTAGAGATCTTTGAACCACCGAGCCCTCTTTCTTCCAAGCAATCCTGACAGGTTGAGAGGAACCCAAAAACAAGGACACCCCCAAAACCATCACAGGTGTACAACATGCTCGAAGCCAGCCCTTTGCGGGGTAGACCTGGCTCCAAAAGTGCATTGAGACAAAACCGACCCCAACTCCCACTGCAAGCCTTGTGCAGCAGACCCCGTCTTTGCTTCCAATTCGGGGAGTTTTCAGACCGCCTCCCGGTGTCACTTTCAACTGGACCAAATGTTGGGTGCTCAAACAGCAAATGCCCGACTCACAGCTCGCTCTCCAGATGTCTCCCCCCTATCTTGCGATCAGAGATGCCGCCGAGCCCAGAGAAGGGTTCATTCTCCGAATATGGGTGCGTCTTAACATAGGGAAACCCTCCAAATGATTGATGTCCTTTTGGAACCCATTTGAACATCCTCATTTTGGGCCCAGTGTCAATCTCTTTTTGGAGGTACCCTTTTTTGGTTGGTGAGGAACCAAAAACAAACCGTTGCCATTTTGGGGGTCCCGCTGCCTTCGCTAGGTGCCCATTTGGGAAAACAATCATGAATTCCACGGGTAAATTAGAACTTAAACCATCAGAAAGTCCACTCGTCTGTATTTACCTGAACTACCCTCCTGTCCACTAACACGGCACCTGACGTTTCGGGTGTGTCATTTTCTTTTAACATTGACACTCTGGTGGAATTCATGTTAATGGACAGGAAGAACAACAAAGAAAACATGAAAACATGGGCATGGGTCGAAATTAAACCACCACGGACCAATTAAACCACCAGGGGACCCCATTTAGCAGGATTCTATCTGGGGTACCTATTTTGACCCACTGCCACCTTGAGAATCCATGACCCAATTTCGCTGCCCAACCCTGGTGGCCAGTGGGTGAAGCATCCGTCCGGTGCCGACCACCCCGTCAGAAGCTCCCGGCTTCCCCCGTTCTCCTCCAAAAAAACGGGCGCCTCCCTGTTGTCCGTTGACCACCAACCCCCCAAACAAGGAACCCGGCCCCCTGTCGCTGTTCGTTGACATGGAATAATTAACAAGGAAGGGCAGCACTCGAGAGGTATGGCTGTGGGTCAAAACCAATGGTACCATTTTGGGGCAGGTGCACCCATTTTAGAACCTATTTTAGTGGGGATTGGGATGTTCGCTAAGGGTACAGGATTTTGACCCATGGCCGTAGCAAACACTCCCCTTTCCGTCCTGGGTCTGGCGCAGCAGGATCTTCTTGGATCCCTCCTCGTCGATGAAGACCACGCCGTGGAAGGAGCTCGGCAGCGTGGGGTGGGGGTCCCCGTTGTCCAAGCCCAGCAGATACACCGCCACCTCCTTGTTGGACAAACCCGTGATCAGCGCGCCTGACGCGCAAGAAGGACGGCGGACGGGGGGCGCGGGATCTACTCGGCCACCACAAAGTTGCCTTCTTGTGTTCAGGGGTGTATGTGGATGGGAGAAAGGTGGTGGAAGAGCGGAAGGGGGATGGGGCTGGCAGGAAGCAAGGCACCTTCCCGAAACCATCTGGGCAATGGTCTTGGTCCAAAGATGTGTGGGGTGGGGCACCAGTTTGGTGCTCAGGAGACTGCCACGAGACATTTGGGTGGTACTCCTTCAAATGAGGGGTCGCTGAAAGGTTAATTTCGGGTCGGTTTCCCTCAACCCCATGCGAAAGGGGTCCAAGTTGTTGTACTGCATACTATACCGGTAGAGGGGAGCACGCCACCCAACGCAACGCCTCACCTTAGCTACTGCGTGGTTAACCGAGCGCAAGAACCGTCGGAGGCCAGAGCCGCATCCACCGAATCCGTGGACAGGCTTGCATGCGGCCTTACCTGCGCCACGGCTGCGGGAACAAAGAACTGGTTGCCGCGACAAAGGCATCGTTGAATGGTAGGCGAGCTGGCTGTCGGCGGTTGCGGGTTTCTGCATGCTAAGTGCAATGAGCTTATGTAATTGCATCAACCACTTCGCAGTCTTGGAACAACCTCCTGTCTGCTTGGTCATTTACGAGAGAGGGCGACCGACAACGGCTCCAGCAAGTAAACATGGGGTGGGAGGAGCTGATTGGGTGCGCACATTTATGATTTTGACTTGATTTGATTTCAAAGTACCACCCAATTCCAGTGATTGAGGCCCAGGAAGGTGTTGAGGTAAGATACTGTGGATGGACAACATCCGGCGCCACTTTGAAGTCATGGGAAACAATTGTGTGTGTTGGTATTCAGGGGGAATCATCATTCCAGGCTTCTTAGTCCATCCACAGTATGGATGAAGATAATTGCGGACTCAGGCAAAGGCTTGCCTGAGAATATTTCACATGACTCCAGTTCATCCAACCCCCCCTTCCTTCCCGTGCCTGTGTCGATGAGGGCATGGAAGCCCCCCACCGCGATGCGGTCCAACAGGCCTCCAAACCGCGGCAGGTGTTTCTCGGGACCGTTCCGGGTCTTGGGAATGAACAGTTTTGGGATTCCATTTAAAGGAGACCACGGGGGATGGTTTTTCTTGGGGTCATTCCAGCTCATTCCGACCCAGCAGTTTTTGTTGCGCCCGAGCCGCCAAGCCCTCCCCACTGCGCTGACTAGAACTCCTGGAGGCTCCGAAAGGCTCCCAGCAACTTCTGGAATACCAGCTCCGCGGGCCTTTTCTTTTCCAACCATCTAGCCGGGTGTCATATTGCTTGGCCTTGCTGGTCCACATGGCCCTGGCCAAAAATTGGGGGAAACAGCCACATGGAAAACGGATCAGCTCCAGGCCCCGAGTTTCCTTTGAAGTTTCAGCCCCTGAAACCCGAGACATCGCCGGCCTGTGACGGTCCAGTCTGCCCCGAAGACCTCGAAGGACACAACCTGAGGACAGAAGCTGGGATCCTTGGATCGCCAGGTGCGACCGCTTTTTTCCAGCAACTGTGACTGCTTTTAGGGTAAAGTGGCTGGAAAACAGCAGCACCTGGGCGATCCAAGCTGGAATTGCGTGGACTCGTCAAAGCCAATGCCTGGAAACAGACTCGGCACCCCGGCGATGTGCTTTGCAAGAGAACTTAGAATCGCTGGCCGAAGGATCAAGCTGTCAAAGGTGATCCCTCCAACCGACATGGATGGGCATGGCTCGCTCGACTACATCGGTCACTGAACAACGCTGGAGGTTCTGCGGCCCAGCCACCCCCTTTCCTTGTTTTGATACGGGGCCACCCTGCTGACACGGGAGGAAACAAAAAGCCAACAAGCAAACAAGCAAAAGAAAACACACAAACAAAAGACCAAACAGGACAACACCCAAACAAGCAAAAGGCAAACACAACAAAACAACACAAACTCACTTGAACAGGCCAATCACTTTCCGAACTCCAAACCTCCAACCACTCACCCCATTCATCCTCCAACCACGCAACCTCTCGAACACTCAAACCCAGTCCCCACCCCCACCCCACATGGATGCTCAACCCATTCAGCAAGCAAGTTCTAACTATACCTATAACCCAGGCCACTTGGCTTAGTTCCCTTGCAGTCATGGCCACAGCAGTGCTGGACACACACCCCTGCCAAACCTCCCCCCAAACCCAAAACCGCCCCCCCTCCCCAAAAAAACACCTCCTCCCCAAAACCTCCCCAAAACCTCCCCCGGAAAGAAAAAAACAAATCTCCCCCAAGAAAGCTCCCAAACAAACCTCCTCCCCAAAAAAGAACTCCCAAACAAACCTCCTCCCAAAAAACACCTCCTCCCCCAAACCTCCTCCCCAAAAAAACCTCCCAAACAAACCTCCTCCCAAACCAACCTCCTCCAAAAAAAAACAAAAAACTCCCAAACAAACCTCCTCCTCAAAAAACACCTCCCCCAAAAAAACCTCCCAAACAAACCTCCTCCCCGAAAAAAAAAAAAAAAAAAAAAAAAAAAAAAAAACTCCCAAACAAACCTCCTCCTCAAAAAACACCTCCCCCAAAAAAAAACTTCCAAACAAACCTCCTCCCCCCAAAAAACCCTCCCCTCAAAAAAAGCCTCCCGCCTGCGGATTGGTCAAGGTGTGCACGATGGAGCCCTCGCTGCCCGGCTCGAAGTCGCAGGACCCCAGCTCCCGCGGCATCAGATCCGAGGGCGTGCCGCTGAAGCCGATGCGCTCCTTTGGCTTCGTCCGCGAATGGATCGGATCGGAATCGATGGATGGAGCGAGCCGTGGTCCAGGGCCGAACATTTGGCGACTTGGGGCCGGGGGGAAAAGGGGGGGGTGAATTTTTGGGGTCATTTTGCCAGGATTTGGACCGGGCAACCCATTTTGGTACGCAGCCAAGTTGGGGGGGGGAGTTGGGTCGAGATGAGGGTAGCCCACTTTGGGGTACCACGCAAGAGGGGGGAGGACATGACCAGGGTACCACAAAAAACAAAATGGTCATACCAGGAGTTGGACCGCAGGTTACCAGGGCAACCCATTTTTGGGTACGCAAAAGGGGAGAACTGACAGGGATAAAACTAAAAACAAAGGAACACATGGTATGGGTCAAAATGCAACCACCAGGATGGGGACCGCAGGTTTTCGTCCTTGCCTCCATTTACCAGGGCAACCCATTTACGATTTTTGGCTCACGGCCATTTGGGGCTTTTGGGGATTTGAGGGGGGGAACCGCCCCGGTGATTTGGTCTGGTCGAGCCCAAAGAAGGGATGAACAGAATGTGTGCATGTGTTTTATTTGGGGCGCTCAGGATGAGGAAAGTGATTCACGGGAATGAGCTGGTTTAGCCCCTAAAATTCCTTGGTTCCAGTCTTGGGAGAGCATCCCCACCCTTGTTAGGTGGTTTTGATTCCTTTGGAATGAGTGCCCCTTTCGCACAAAAGAAGCATCTGACCCGCACAATTTACCCGAGAAAGGGGCGGGACAGAACACATCCTTCTGGAGCATGGGTTTCTGCATGGGCTTCTGCATGGGTCAAGCCATAGGTGGCCTTTTGGACAAAAAAATCGATGAGTCTCCCGGCATAAACCATGCACCTCAGGGTCCATCAGATTCCGGCGGCTCGATCCATCGACGCGGCGACGCTCGAACGTGGCCACGCCTTGAAGAGCAGGGCGCCGCCCAGGTCTTGGCCCGAGGACATGAGCTTCACCTCGGTTCAAGTCAAAAGGTGAAGTAGGGGCCTCTGGTTCCTTGCTTTTTTTTTGGGGGGGAGGAGAGGGGCGAGGGGTCAGGTTGCTTTTGTGTTGTCGTTTTGTTTGTTTGTTTGTTTTGTTTATTTATTTATGTATTTTGTTTGGGTGTGTGTGTAGGGGTCAGAAGCACACAAACAGAGTACTTGAAAGGGAAAAGTTAGTTCTTCAACAGTTTTGGCACCTTTGGGTCAAAGGCGACCTGGTCCAAATCCTGAGTAGAACGACTGGACATCAACACGGCCGATTCGTGAATCCTGAGTCAAAACCAGGGGTTCAGTGTTTTCGCAACCCACCAAGCAAAAAAGAGATGAAGAGGCTCAAATCCACTCAACTGAGTGAACAAGAACCCTTTCTCTATTACCAAAGTTGGTCATGCGAATGACCACGTTATGTATTTTGTGCGGATTCCCCTTCGTATCACAGATACTGGCAACCTCTACCATTTTTCACATACACGTACCTGCAACTTCTACAATACTGCCGCCCTGAAGTAATTGGCATGGCATGATCCCTGGACTAATCCACAAACCACACCCCTAAACCACCACCGGGGAACACCCGAAAGGCTGCCGCCCTGAAGTAATTGGCATGGCATGATCCCTGGACTCCTAATCCACAAACCACAGCCCTAAACCACCACCGGGGAACACCCGAAAAGCTGCCGCCCTGAAGTAATTGGCATGGCATGATCCCTGGACTCCTAATCCACAAACCACAGCCCTAAACCACCACCGGGGAACACCCGAAAAGCTGCCGCCCTGAAGTAATTGGCATGGCATGATCCCTGGACTCCTAATCCACAAACCACAGCCCTAAACCACCACCGGGGAACACCCGAAAAGCTGCCGCCCTGAAGTAATTGGCATGGCATGATCCCTGGACTCCTAATCCACAAACCACAGCCCTAAACCACCACCGGGGAACACCCCCACACCCCTAAACCATCATCAAGCGGCGGGGAAAAACACCCGAAAGCCTCGCGAAACGGCTCGCGAAACGGCTCGCGCAACGCATCCGGCCTCCTGGAAGCGCAAGTGCTCGGGGAACACGATGGACTCCAAGTACCAGGCCACCACCTGAACGACAAATCCCGCCTCAACTCGACGTTTGGTCCCAAAATGCAGGAAACGGTTTTTATGGGTGGGTCCCTTTTTTTAGGGGACCCCACAAAATGACGACAAATCCCGCCTCAACTCGACGTGTTGTTTCTCCAAAATGCTTATAAAGGTCTATAATGGATGGGTCCTTTTTTAGGGGACCGCCCAAATGGGCTCGGTGTTCCTTCTGGTTTCCACAAACAATGACATACCCATACGGACTTTACCGTAACCCCAATTAAACCAGGTAGTAGATCCACCCATCCACCTACCACCTACTCAATTGCCCAAACCCCCCCCTCCTCCCCGTGCCTGGCCGTTCTTTCGCAGTAGCTTGAAGAGTTCGTTCATCTGGCGCCGGTTGCTGCGCTCCAGCATGTGCAACGGCAGAATCCGTACCTCAGGCACTTCTCTCGAGATTCTCGTGAATTGCGGAGTGCACTGGAAGGCCACGCGGCCCAGAGTTTGGAGACGCTCACCTACCCTCCATGTTCTTTTTCGTCCCCTGAAAAGACAAGAACAGGTATCTCCAGTAGTGATAGACTCCTCTTTACATCCGGGGGAAAATAATTCTTAAGCAAATGGAAGCCTGTGAGGCCCAGAGCAAGCTTAAAAAAAGGCTTCATTTCATTGCACAGCGGCTCTCTTCAAACTGAACTGCCTTTCCTGACCCCAATGCCAGAAGAGTCCCTGCAGGTCGTATTTCATTCTGATGCAGGTGTCGGCCTGAAGACAAACATGTTTTTGTTTGCCAGCTTCCGGCTTTTCAACATCGGAAAACGATGGTACCGGGTTGGCCTTTCGCATTTTGAACAACTCCGAAGCCTGAAAAATCGGATCCCCAAAGGACCTGTTGTGGATGGTCGCGAAATCCATTTCGCACCACCCTCCTCGTTTTTGGCGGGATTTTGAGGAAGCAACCCACAAAACAATGGGGAAAGAAAGGGGAGGATTCGTGCCGCCTTTTGAAGCACAAGGGCCCCTTATTGGACTACCAAGCCTCAAAAAGAAAGACTTGCCAAACTTGCATTTTGCGCCTGACGAATTGCAAAGTTCTCCTGGGGCCTGAACACAGGACATCCTACACAATTTTAAGCATGGAACAGATCGGGGCGTCTTTCCTGAGGATCCCCCGCTTGGGTTGAAAGGAAACCAAGAGGAAATCCACCATGGTTGAAAGAGAACCAAAGGGACAGCCACCATTTGACTGTATTGTTCTTTGGTTTTTTGGGGGGGTCCCAAAATGGCTAGGTGTCCCTTTAAACCCAAAAAAAACACGAGCACCCCGCCCAAAACGACCATCTCTCCGACGAGTCCGCGCGCCGAGCCCAACAAGCGCACGAACGCCGCGAGGCGGGCGCGCCTTCTTCTCCCGCACCTCGGCGGCGCGGGCCGCGGCCAGCTGCTCAGGGCTCAGGTCCTGGCGACGCGCCGCGCCGCCTCGATTTTTTGGGGCGGAGGCCCGCGGCTTCGTGGGCGAGGTGAGCGGTTGGGCCGTTGAAATGGGTGGCTGTGCAGAACCAATGGTACCATTTTGGGGTAGGTGCACCACCCATTTTAGAACCTGTTTTAGTGGTGAGCTATTGGCGGTTCAAAGGGGTGTGGCTCAAATTGTCAAAATGAAAGAGCCAGGGTTACGGACATTTGCTTGAGCCGCAGCCAAATGTGGCCATGGAGTGAACATCCCAATCCCCACTGAAATAGACTAAAATGGGTGGTGCACCTACCCCAGAATGGTACCATTGGTTTGATGTTCATACTGTGGATGGTTGCGAAATCCATGTCGCACCATTTTGAAACCATGGTTGAAACCATTGTTTGTTGGTATGCCCAGGGGATACCTCAGTCCAGGGTTTCTTATGTGATGCAGGATTTCGTCCATACACAGTCGGTGACATTTTGGGGTCCTGGGGTACACAGAAGATACTGTTGTCATAGGTGGTTTGGCTGTTCAAACCTGAAGGTGCTGTGGTTTTGTCAGAAGATACTGTTGTTATAGGTGACCTTCTCGAAATACATGAATAAAAAGTGTAAGCTAGTGGAACCCATCTATTGCTAAGCAAGCTAACCTAAAAAGGACCTATGTTAAGGCGTGCCTTATTGTTGATGGCACCCCCTTGTTTGGTTGTTTTAAAGGGAAACCAAAAGAAAACCAACCATTTTTGGGGGGTCCCTGCAAAAACAGACACAACCATTGAGAGAATGGCAACTTGGGACCCAGTTTGAAACTCGGCAAACATGTTGGAGGGTTGTATTAACCCAGTAACGCCCCTCCCAAATTATTGGTGGTGGACACAAATCCCCACCATAATGATGTTCACCAAAGGGTCCCTAAACCTTTTGATGATCCTTATGTCGTAGATACCCCCATATTCGTGCAACACAGATCCTAACTAGTGTACTGATGACTGGACCTGGGGTGTTGCCAAAATAGGGGGCTACCCAAATTGTAGTTTGTAGTTTGGCATCCTTTTGAATTTGTTTAAAGACCAACTACAGGGGCTCCACCATTAGTTTGGGAGGAGCCTACTAAGGGAGGTGGTGTCAATGGAAACCACACCTCGGGGCTATCAACACACGGCTGTGGCTGCTTTGTTGTTGGTACCCTTTTCAGCCCGCTCAGCCTTTCGGGGAAGCCAACGCATGACGCTACCATTTTTGGGCCCACGGACACATACCCCTATGGGACATTGTGTCCAGAATTGAAGGGGAAAAAGGACCTGCCCGATTCAGACTTGGTCGATGCGGCATGCGAAAGGATTTGGATCTGCCGCCGCTTCTCCGCTTATGGCCCTTTTTCTTCCATTTTTGAGTTTTGGCCGGTCAAAATCCACATCGTACCCCATTTGAACATCCCCATCCCCACTAAACTCGGTCCTAAAATGGTTGGTGCACCTACCCACCATTGGTGTTCACCCACAGCTTCTGTTTTTTGGGAGGGTGGGGAAGGGAAACGGGCTATGTCACTTGCCACCGCCTCCCACCGCCTCCCACCGACTCCCACCGACTCCCACCCCACCCCGCCCCCCGATCTCTCCGTCTACCCCACCCCGCTCGACGATCTCTCCACTCCGCTCGATCTCTCCGCTTTTCTCCTGGTAATCAATGGGCTATGCTATGTCTGGGGGTCAATGGGCTATGTCACTTGCCACCCACTCCCACCCTCCCACCCCACCCCCACCCCCACCCCCACCCCCACCCCCACCCCCACCCACCCCCACCCCACCCCGCTCGATCTCTCCGCTCGATCGCTTCTCCTGGAGCTCCTGGCGCCGGGTGGCCAGCACCCCGCCGGAGCCCTCCACCCAGCGCTTGAAGAGCAGCGCCGTGGGCCGCTCCGCCGCCAGGCCCGGCTCGCTCTCCAGGTTCGCCACCAGCAGATCCAGCACCGCCTGGAAATGGGAAGAACTTGCGGGTCTCAAAAGGCTGGGGAAGGGGGGCGGGGGGGTGGGTGAAGTGGAAACCCGCGCTAAACCCTAAAAAGTGGGGTAAATGAGGTTGTGAGTCAAAAGGCGGGGGGGGGGGGGGAGGGGGGTGGTGGGTTTTATGTGGACACCCGCGCGAAACCAACTAAAAAGCTAAACCCTAAAAAGCTGAACCAACGGGGAGGGTGGGCTGTGGGTTTTATTTGGAAACCCGCGCTGAACCCCAAAAAGCTCAAAAACTAAGGAAGAGGATGGCTGGGCAACCTTTGGCCCCGTCTTTCTCAAGTTGCCGGTCTTGGATTTCCTGTCTGAATTTGCGATTCCGGGCAATATGGT